CTGTACTTCTTTTGGAATAAGTAATGGCTGAAGAAGTCGATAAGGTCAATGGCAGGGAGTTTTTGATCTTAAGCAAACATCACATGATTGAACAAAATCTTTGACCGCCTTCCACATTTGTATCCACCAAAAATCTCTAGATACCAGCTCTAAAGTCTTATTGTATTTAAAATGTTCAGCTATTATAAAATCATTGTATGCTTGAAAAACATGTAAATGTATTTTTTCTTTTAGAACATATAGGCGTCCTTTAAAATAGAGTAGGTTTTTTTTGAATTTGAATTTGGAAGCATAATGAGACTTGAAAGAAAGATTCTTGATATTATGAACAAGAGAATCAAAAGACATACTTGATTGAATTTGTTTGATAAAGGTTGAATTAATAGTCAATATTAATTTCATTACTTGAAGATGAAAATGCTTGAGCTTCAAGAAAATCATTCTTTATTGATTAAAAGATACATTTTTTTCTTTTGATACAAGATAAGAATGTCTAAAGAAGGCGTTTCAATAACCTTATTATTTTTCAGGTCAATATGTGATCTTGAAATCAAATCTTGATAAAGACATGCTCCAACAAGCTTCGTGACAATTCAACATATGTGCTAACATGAAATATCAGAGTTTCTTGTGATATATATATATATATATATATATATATATATATATATATATATATATGATGATTGGAGTAGAAACGCCTTCTAAATAATGATGCCATTCTTGAAAAGAATCCACAATTACAAGAAGTTCTTTGTTGTGGATCTCATAATTAATCTCAACTATTAAAAATTTCTTGGAATAATAAGTTATTGAATGAAGTTTATCATCTATTCCTATTTGTAATAATATGGCACTCATAATAAAGTCTAATTTATTTTTTTTTATAAAGAATATCTTAGAGAAGTCAATATGATACAAGATTGGTGTACAAACAAAAGTTATCTTTAAAGCTTTAAATATTGTTTCTTATTCTTAATTCTACTAAATTTTGTCTTTACAAATCAAACATATAAGTAGAACTACAATTTGAAAAAAGTTCTTGATGAAGATCCAATAATAGTTAAGAAATCTCAAAAAAAATTGACATCTTATACTAATTTTAGAATCTTCCAATCCATAATAGTTTGAACTTTCTTAAGATCCATAATAAGTCCATCATTTGAAATAATGTAACTTAAGAAGTCAACTTGAGTAAAATAGAATATACACTTCTCTATCTTGATATAGAGTCTTGCATCTCTTAATTTTTGTAACACATGACAAATATAAAGTTCATGTTCTTCTATGTTTTTAGAATAGATCAAGATGTTGTCTAGATAATAGACAACAAAATTATCCAAAGACTCTCAAAAAATATCATTCATAAGATATTGAAAAGTTGTTAGTATATTTGTAAGTCCAAAAGGTATGACATTATATTTAAATTGTCTGCATCTAATTCAAAATACAGTCTTTCATTCATCTCTTTTTTTTATGCATATTACATTATATACTCCTTGTAGATTATTTCTTATATAGATCTTAGCTTAATTCAAGTGATCAAGAAGTCCATATATTAAAGGTAGTGGATATGTATTCTTGATAGTGATCTTGTTGAATCTTTGATAATCAACACACATCCGCAATTATCCATCTTTTTTCTTCACAAATAGGATTGAAGTTCCTGTTAGAAATTTGAAATATCATATGAAGTTCTTGACTAGATTTTCTTTAATATACTCCTTGAGTTCAGCTAAGTCATTTTGTGATAAATTATAGATTGATCCAAATGAGGTTGTGCTTCTTCTTGAAATTCAATTGAGTGGTCATAAAAACTATATTTTGGAAGAGTATTTGCATTTTTTTTTCTCAAATATATCTTGAAATTCTTGATATTGGCTTAGAATGCCACTTGAACTCTTTACACCATTAGAAATAAGTGTAGTATAAATGATACAAGGTGATTCTTCTTTTGCAGCATGCAAGAAAGCTATTTCACCTACAAAAAAATATTTAATTATACTAGACCTATGATTTTTTACTTGATTAATTACACTTTTAATTATACTTTTAAAAAATTCAAGAATACAAGAAATTCAATCTATTCAAAGGTTATATTTTTGTACTACAATAAATCTAAAATGATTCAATTAGAAAGAGATCTAATGATATTAAATACCACAAAGCTATTATGATCATTGCTTATTACTTTTATAAGAAGAGTTTTGTAATTAACATCTCCAAAAGACAATGGACGACCATCTATAACTTCTATATGAGCAAGTCTAGTTTTTTTCACTAAGGATATGTTAAGTCTTTTAGCAAATTCTTCATCTAAGAAATATTTTGAAGCTCTTGAATCTAACAAGGTAGAGACTTTGTAATATTTAGGTCGTAAAATAATATTTAATATAAAATAAAGAAAAGATTCTGAAAAGAAAATATGACCTTCAATAGGTATTATATAAAGGTTCCACCTGCACAGTCCCTATTGTAGCTAAAAAAATTATTAGTTTTTGTCCTAGAATTTTTTATAATATAAATATAATTTTTTTTGACAATGATGAGTCTTTTCTTGCTTAGTAAGAGGTTTGAAACATATCGCATCAATTTACATATTTTCTACTTCCAAATATATGTATTGAAGAAGCATTGGTATTACCATTGAATTATAGTAATATTGAGGCCTACTTGTCCAATTCTTAGATTAAAATTAAAAAAGTCGATTGTCACACTTCACAGCAAAGTCAATCCCTTGACTCAATGTTTGAGGATCAAATAAGTTGAGCATCAATTTCTTTATCTTATATTATAATTCATAGAAAAATTTGCTAATAAAAATAATATCATTACACTTGATATCAGTTATAAGTTATCAAAATTAAGAAGCATATAATATTATGGATCGATTGTCCTGTTGTAAAATATAGATTTGTTGGTTACAACATAAGTTGCATCATGTTTTCTATACATGGATTGAAACTCTACCAAAAAAACCTCTAAATTATCTAGTATTGCATCCTGTTATTCAAGAAAAGATAAAAAAAACCACGATAATGCTGAACTTGAAAGAAGTGTATTAATGAATCTAACTTGTGATCTTAGAATTTGGTAGCTTTGGGATTGAAGTTCAATTGCAACTTACACTTGATTGATAAATCTTCAAAACTTAGATTTTGTGCCATCAAACTTCTTAAGCAAGGTAATCTTTGGTTCTCTAATATCAAAAAGATGTTTTGCCATAGGAAAAGGGATATGATTTGGTACAGATGTTGAAGCAACTCCAATCATATCTATATCTTTACTTCATGCCATTCTTGTTGTTCTTTGTAGTGGTAAACTGAGTTGATGCATCACAAGCATTAACTCCCTTAATTGCTCTTGAATTTTTGCCATTATATTCTTCATTTTAACAAGTTCTGCCATAATAATACTTTATAAAAACATATCTAATATCGCTTAAGACAAGCAGAAGAGAGGACTTGAGAAAAAAAAAGATACATAGAATAATATTAGTTTAGGAGAGGGTGATTTGTAACTTCTAATATGCTTATGTCTTATCAAGAGATAGGAATAATCTACTCTTAATCAAGAGAAGACAAAGCTCTAATATTATAAGTATACTCTTGTCAATTTTTCAAGAACATGAATGGAATAGATACATAAACTTTAAAAATCTGTATCAAAAGAAAAGTGACAAAATAGAAATAAAGTAATACGTATATCAAAAAAGAAATTGGAATGGCTATTGCCAAAAGATAAGGAAATTAGAGACTCTTGAATCTAAACTAGAAGCAAGAAACGAATTGACAAGAATGAAGAGGACTTCATTCTTGCCTCTATATATATTATCTTATTAGGAGCTACATGGCAATGTTTTATAGGACCTCTAATATGTGTTGACTTTGCAAGACACATATTTTAGCTTACAAGGTAAGTTTTTTGTGTGTGCGCCACATAGTTAACTTGTTCTTCAAGCTACCAATATGTGTGGTACATGGCTAACTTATTGACCAGGTTTCTAATCTAAAAATTCAATTATAAACACCTATAAAGTCAAAGTAGTATCTATGAAGCTTCTAAGAAGTTTGTATAGAAGATATTATAGAATTAACCTACTTTTATCTACTTTTATCTAATCATACAGGTAATTATTGGTTTACATGTGTATGTCCATAACATCTTATATACTAAGAATTAGTCCTTTGATTTATAGTAACTTACCTAAGATAATATTCTCTACAATATAACTTATTCTACTCTCATTTTTATTTATTTATTTTAATATAATTTTTACAATAATGAGTAAATTAATAACAAAATTAAATATAATATAAGAAGAAAACAAATCAACTAAGATCAATTTTAATATAAATAAATACTAAATAAAATATTAAATAGAAGTTGATTAAAATAAATTAATAAAAAGAATAAATATGATATTCAAAGCATTATGTCTTATCATCTTTTATCACCCTCCAACTAAACTAAAAGTGAATAGTGGCTATATTAAGTGTAGTCAAAGATTGGAAGATTGATCGCTTAATCTTTTCTGGTCACATGGGCTTGTAAAACCATACATGTGATGACATAATTTCCATCTATAATTTACTGACAGTTATATTAAAAGAAAATATGTACAAATAATTTGGACTTGCATCAGTGAATTCACAGCCAGAACCTTGCAAAATATAAATCCGGACAATGGAGAGAATTTTTTCGGAGAACCAGAGAGGATGCTTTGTTTTCCAAAATCAGTCGGTGGCTTGTTTTTATATCTCTGTTTTCGGTAAAGTTTGCATTTTAAGTACTCCAATGTGTAAATGGAATTTGAACATTTTACTGATCCTTTCCGTTCATTGCACGGAACTTGGAGTGAACATCATAGCTACAGTCGGTACGATTTGCCAATATCCCTCAAATGGACATTTGCAAAGCAAGAGTAACTTACAACGTGAATTTACTTGAAGTTGCAATGACTTAAAGTTGGCTCACTTAGAAGCAGCTACTTGAGGTGGTAATAGAAGCGATTGTGAAGTCTAGATTAAAATTTAATTAATCAATATATGTTCATTCAGCATTAGCAGCAAGACGAATGGCAATAAAACTACAGAAAGCTACAGTTTTCCTCCTCTATAAATGTGTCCCAATTTGAGGATACGTCCGTCGCAAGAGTTGCGCAACCAGTGTGAGTTCATAGTTGACCATGTAACAATAAGCGAGACTCTCAATCAGCCCACACATTCAATTGCACCCACCCCGTCCAAGCTCCGTTTGGAACGCATCAAAAAGGGATGTACAACCCTGCACTGGAGATAAAGCCCTCGCATAATGCAAGCATAATCGCTTCACTTTGTCACCTCTATAATGAATTTGTTTGTCGGTGCTTTGCAACCACAACAATGTAGCACATGGACGAGCATCAAGTAAGGGTAGGATGATGACCAAACCGTGTGGCACATTTGGTCTCACTGTTGCCATCACTTGCACGCATCATTGATCGTGTCCTTTGTAAGAAATAAAGATACTCCATGCCATTCACAGAACTCCAGCTGCGGCAACCTATTGACACAACCAGAGTAACCTCTTTTCTCAAAAGTTGATGTCGGTACATTCAATTCATAGAATCGCATAGAATCCCTGAAACAACGTCCGCCTGAGCTTAACTCCAAGTGTGAGGTGCAAGTCTTCGTGAAAGGTGAAAATCCTTAACTAGATCCACTACGGTAAGGAACTTCTTTCCCAAAAAATCTCAACAATGATGATCAGTGAGATGGAGGTGCCTTCTGAAGTTTGTCAGCAACCTCAGCTTGATGACTTTCAAGGTTGAGAAGTACAACAAAAAAAAAACCCCACAATACTCCAGAGAGTGAACACAAACTGCGATGCCAACAATTCATTTTCTGTGCCCTAACTAGCAGTCCTGATTAGATCATCGAGCACAAAGGCATTAAGACCGTCACTTTTTTCCAGGATAGACTTTCAGGAGAGAAGCATTAATTTCTAAAAATGAAAACAAAACGTTAATTGGTTACTAGACATATTGAAGTGAGCTACTAGACCTGATCGGCTGCAGTGCGGAGAAGTACACCACCCATCCCTGGAACAGTGACAAACTTCGACAGAAGCTCAAACTTTCATAAGAAGATTAGAACGACTATGATACTCACAGGTTTCAAGAATCAAACGAGTCATACTCAGTAAGGATCATTAGCATGACTTCTATTGAAGAGGAAAGAAGAAAATCCAAAGCATACCAGTAATGCAAACCAGGTCCATTCATGAAAACTCCAATGACCACGAAAGAGAGTCGTGTTTCTGCACGCCACACCAGAGTAATGTCAGATATTGCTGGCATGCTCCCTCAAATAACAAAAGATCCGGTCATACAAAACAATATTGCCTTCAAACAACGAGGACCAAAACGAAGATGTCCTCAATTTCACTCTATACGTTTATCCTTCAAAAGGGGGTTAATGCAGCTAAACTACAGAGCAGAGGGCAGTAAGAGACGTACACTTTTTTTTTAAAAAAGAGAGAAACTTTCGTCCCATAGAATCAAACATTTGCAACGTGAAATTCATTCGCTACACAACTCATCATTAGTAGATGCAAGATAATAACTAGCTAAAGCCATGGGGTTATGGACTAACAGCTTTCGTTAGAGACAAACTCAAACACTTACAAAACCTTTCTTACACCCTCTCAAGGGAAAAGTTCACAACCAGAACTGAACCTCCGTCTGGCCAGAACATGAGAGGAAAAAGCCCTATCATCAATCCAGAAGCACCGTGTGTGATCGTTTGGAATTCAGATGTCAGAAAAGGTAAATTTTATGCGAGGAACAGTTTTGAAATCCTTCCAAGGATAAGAGCGTTCAGACCTGGGCAATCAGAACCCAGGTTCTTCGTAGAGAAGAGACGTTCAGCAGCTGAATGATGTTGTATTGGTACTTTTCGCCCACTTCAACATCTCGTATTTTCACAATTTCCATGTAAGCGAGCGCAGAACGCTCGAGTCCCACGCTACCGCCGCCGCCTGCACTTTTTCTACTGTATCCATCTACTGCCCCTACTTGTATCGCACTCCAGAATCAAAAACCCAGCACAATACCTCCTCAAATCCACAACAGAGTCGCGCAGCCTTCATTGAACTTCTCCACTAAAGTCAGGTAAGTGGCTTTTTCCAACTATGCTCTCGTACACCTCAAGCCTCTTCTCCACCAGAACTTTGTAATAACCCAAAACATTCCCCAGCTTACAACAAGATGGAATTAAGAAAAATAAAAAGCTTTTTGTGAAGCTTGAGAGTTGCGAATGGAGCCTAAATGAAAAAGTAGCCTAATAAGACAGAACGAAGAATAAGTCAATGAACGGTACCACTAAGCTTTCGACAGTTGATTATTGACACATTGATTGCAAAAAGTAACAATGCAGGAGAGAGCTGACAAACGAGCAGATCAAACTTCTAGTGCGAACATAAATGATGAGCAGGGCAGCCGGCAGTGTACCTACTAGCGACAACCATTACAAGCACCCTCCAACGTGCAAATAATCGGCAGAAAGTGGGCAAAGTTTGTATCCGAATTCCTTAGTAACAGAACATGGCTACATGCCGTTGAATGTCGGCAAAACTCGGTTCATTTCATTAACTAGGCTTTTTCATATTTTCCTTTGTAGTTTGCCAATTCCTTGAATTCATTCAGTAGTAACCCACGCTTTTCCATTCAGGCACAAGGATTCCCTAACAGCATTGTTGTCTCCTCCTGAGTTGCTATTTGAACCAATGGTTTAGGAGTTCTCAAAACCTCTTTTAACAAATTATTATTTTAAATATTTATTGGAGGTTCATTAATCCCTGGATTCCCTGCAGCGCGGAGGCCATAGGCAGCTTGGCATTGAATTTAAGCTTGGCTTTGTTCTTGGTTCAGGATAGAACATGCAGTAGTTTCTTGCTTTGTCCTTCACTCATTCCGTTGAAGTTCTCGTTGAAAGCATTTCCATGCAAACCCTACATCGTTATTTACAGCACTCGGTTTCGGCATCATGCTAGAGCAAAGTCTCAAACAACAACCCAATTTGCTTACAAACTAACGAGACAACAAACAAGAGCATGGCACTCCCTGCAAGTTTTTCGATGCTGTGATTTCAAGACATATTCTACGATCTCAACCACCGCATATTCTATCCTGAAGATCTATTTAGCTACATTCGCAGACTACTTATTCTATCCGCAGTCCAGCACAAGATGTCTACAACTGAGGTCGAGTATCAAGGAAAACACGGAAAGAGGCTGCAGTTGCAAAGATAACAGGGAAATACTGCCACATACCCTCAGAATCACATCCCATCTCTCCAGTTGCATCAAGATCGGTGTAGCATCCACAAAACCAGAGAAGCCACCCACCGAACCCAACGCAATTGCGAACGCCAGCTTGCTCTACGGAATGGTGCACTTGGAACTCCTTTCCACAATATAACAAAACACCATGAAAGCACATGACAAATCTGTGGCCAACTCCACACACTTATGAACAAGGAAATAAAGCCAAAATGCAGGCATCTCTATGCTGATGAGGCTGAGGTCTCTGTCTTCACCAACTAAACATCCTTGCCCCCAAAAACCCTCCTCATTGTCTGCATTGTGTGGTATTCTCTACTGAAACCCATGTACAAGTTGTTCGGTCTCCCATTTCCTTCGCTCAATTCTTTCTATGATTTCATGGGCTGAAACCCACTTTTGTTGGCGTTCAAAAACACAGTTGTTCGGTGTTTTCACTCTGCTTGAGGATGTTCGCGTTCAAAAACAACAGTTGTTGGCACATGGAATTCATGTCTGGAAATGGGTGTTTTCACTCTGCTTGAGGATGTGCAGCCATAACTCCTGTTGCTTCAGCTGTGTCTTGAAACTCCTATTTGTTTTTGTTTTTGTTTTTTGTTTGTTGGATCTCCATTGGAGCGGAGCCGAAACACAAAATTACTGACCCAGCAAGCATAGCAAAGCAGAATTAGGGTTTACAAAATCCACAAATTGGTTGTTGATGGTGTTCAATGAAATTGTGATGAAAGTTGACAGTGAAATTGTGCATTACAGGAGCGGTGCTTATACATGTTTCTTAGGCCTTTTGATTTCTCCAACTGTGATGAATCTCTTTCTTCATGAGTCTCATTGCAACATTAATTGTTTGTTCCTTGCTTTGTTTTTGTTTCTATTTTTACGTTTATCTGAAATGTATACACCAGCTTTCAACATTTCATGTAGATATTGAATGGTATTTGAAGGGTTCGAACATAATTGAGTTGACTGGTCATTAAAAGAAATGTGTGGCTTGTCATGTGAATCATTGTTGTCTGATATTCATGGTTTGTTGCAGAATGAATTATGTACCAATCTAAGGACCTATTGATGGAAACTTCATGATGAAATGGGTTCAATGCCTTACACTCTCTCATTGGTGTTTCAAATATTTTCTGTGAAGTGAAATGATGGGTTTGAGGAAATGTTTGTGAAAACAATTACGCAATAAAATTTTATAAAGTAATAATAAAACAGAAAACGTAAAATGTTGTTTCAGTGTCAATGTTTGTAGAATAGTTGAAACAATCAAAGGATGAACTTAAAAAACAATATTATGTTGGAATACAGATTCACTTTGAAGACAATTTTGACCGTTTTTTTCTTTGTCAATCAAATGAACTTCAAACTTGTATACAAATTTACGAATTTGTGTACAAAGAGAGATAAACTTTTATGATACCAGTGTAAAATGATTACATTCTTTAAAATCCAATCATATTTTGAATTCGAGTATAATAATATTTTATACCAGAATAAATAATAATAATAATAATCAAATCTAACTTGAATGAAATATGTGTTGCCAGAATAGAATGACATGGAATAAATCATTTAACATGTTTATTTACTTGTCTCTTATATTTGGATTACATGTATTCTTATGCTTCTTTGTTCCTTTCTAATGGCATTTTAGGGGTCTTTTTAGTCAAGAGAGAAGATGACAAACCACCATTTAAAAATTTGTGAATTGAATAAAATCTAGAGGCTTCTCAATTTCACCCAATCAAGAATTTAAAAGTTGTATTCTCTCATCTTGTACATTTAGTATAAAGGCCCTTTAGCACAATGTACTAAAAATTAGGTCTTCTTCAAAATCATTTTTATGTATACTTTTCTCTCTCTCTCTCTCTCTCTCTCTCTCTATATATATATATATATATATATATAATAATGAGAATTTTTAAATTGATCCAAGCATTTTACTAAATCAACCCACCCATCCTAAACATCATCAAAAACTTCTCCACCATTGAATTTGGATTGGGTAAAAACCAATTAAAAGATGGTTGGATCCACAACCAATGATGATAGGTGGGTGAATTCATGTAATGTTTGGGTCAATTCAACAATTCCCTATATTAATATACGACATTTATAGTAAAAAATCTAATAATTAAAACATTGTTAGAAAACAACAAAAAATAAGTCATTTGGAAGAACAATGAATAAAATGAAAATATATGAAACTACACCACTTACAATGTATAAACATTAAGCTCCATAATTAACTTATATCGTGCTTGAATATATTGCAATAACTTCAAAAAAAACATGTTTTGATTATTATACCTTCCATAACAAAGAATATTGTTATACCCACATATATTATATCATGCTAGAATTATCCCAATTTTTTTTAAAAAAACCTAGTGCACTAAATATTACGAAATGCAACATAGAATACCAAAGAAAAACGCAAAAGTTCAATAATCAAATGAGAATTAAAGGAACATATATAATATTTATCTATTTATTTATTGGGTGAGGAAGGTTCTAGGAAGGGCACGGGGACTCCCTCCACCCCTTGATGCGCATTAGCTACGTCACATGTCACCGCCATGTGCCATGTCAGCACTTCCAGCTGGCGGCATGCAATAGGGGCTCAATCCGCGCTGTTGCCATGCTGGCTTCTGTTCACCAACTTGGGCGCCAGAAATGATCCATGGGTCACATCACCCCCATTGGACGAATGAAAACAATTTCACATTTGCATCCATGCAACGGATGGATGCTGATGGAATGAAAACTTGTAGGATGTGTAATGGATGAAAGATGGCTTCCTTGGATGGTGTTTGGTGGGGAAGCTTTGGTTTCATTTCCCCTGGGATGGATGAACGTATCGAGCATTCCGTTGGATGAATGAACTTTCTCCCCTTATAGTAATTGGATTTTTCATCCTTCGTTACACATGCCAATGAAAGCTGGTCATCCGTTATAAATATACATTTTAGGGTTTCAATACACAAATTCAAACATAGTTTTTAGAATACTTGTGATAATTTTATTGCATGTGGTACTTTTTTTATATATTTTAGTTTTGATTGTTGGAAGTCCTACTGAGTGTAAGGCTTGTCTACAGGGTTTAAAATGTAGCACATACTAACTATCCTTAAAGAATGAGAATGGTGATATGCATAATATGAAAAAGTGAAAGTCACAGCTGGTATATTTCTAAAGCTACTTTTTTAGTGAATAATTCCAGGGCATCATTACATGAGAATGGGGGTGTTTCAAATTGGGAACTCATTATGACAAAAATCGAAGATCAATTTGAAGTTCATAAAATAATGTTGAAGACATTGATGTAAAGAGTATGCAAGCAAATGAATCATTCCTTTTTATTTTTAAAATTCAATGGCAAAATAGAATTGCATGGCCCATTATTCAAAGGAAAAACGAAATGTGAGTAGTTGTGCCTCACGCATTGCTGCATGTGTTCCCATGACATGGAATGCTATGAGAATGCTGAGATGGCATCTCCAAGCTCCTGTTCCCAAAGTTCCCAGAGGAAACTAGGGTTGACATGGTGTTTGGCCTGTTTTAGTGCAACCATGACCATTGCAAATAGTCTTTGTCTAAACATAGATCACATGATCAACGTATGATATGGGTGTGTGTATAAGACATGCTCCATATTGTGTATGATGAATGTCAAAAATTAAATCACCCATGTTGAACATTTCATATATATATGGGTTTATGAAAAGCCCTCCTGTTGTGAAGTATTATTAGGTAAAGGTTGCTAGATCCTCCCAAAAACAAAGGTACCTAGTATAAATAATACATGGGTTGTGACTCATGTCTCTCCCTTGACCCATTCAACATGAATGTGGTTGACCAATTAGCACCTCATGTGCTGAGCTGCATCAGATATTAACTAATCTCACTTTGCCTTTACTTATGCAACTAAATATACACCAATCTGCTGATTATTTGGTGGAGATTTTGGGGGAAAATGCTACATGAGTGGAGTAGCAGTTGTTTATTTTTTGAGGTTTTAAATAACTTTGTGCCAACAACTCCACTGTTGAGGTGGAGCAATGCTATTGGCCCAATCAACATGCTACATATTGGTCCAAGTATTGAAAAGCCTGTAATGTTTGCAAATTATGCTCTTAGTTATGCTCTTAATATAAACTTGTAATTTTTTTTGAATGAATGTTCTTGCAATTGGCTTAGAATTGGACAAGGACTTGGTTTCATTGCAATCCCAAAAGGTTCAATTTAAAATTTAAATGCATTGTTAATACATTAAGTAACAAGTAGCCATAATTTACATTGTGAATCATAAGTATATAACAAAGTATTGTTGGATGGTTTGATTTATTTTTAATGTTGTACTCAGTAATAATTTACCATGTTCAACTTGAAGATATAACAAAGGAAGACTTCTGAACTCAAATTCACAACCTTGAACATTAACAAATGGTAATTTTTTTTGAGGTTAATGTAGCCATGGTACTGTCCTATAATAAGTTGTCATAACAATAAATTAAATTCAACACACAATATGAGTTTGTACTTGTCTGTGTGGTGCCAAGTATCCCAGGAATCAGACACACTTGTAGCAATAGAAAATGTCCCAGCAAAAGAAAAATAATTAAGAAAAAATTATACAATATTAATGTTAACAAAACAACAACAACAACAACAATAATAATCCAACTGTTATTATTTTCAGTCTGATCCAGCTGGCATTTATATTTTAGTTTTTGATGTATAGGAACACCCATATGTACACGTACACATACACAACAGAAGCTAAGAACATTACCAAAGTGAACTTTTATTCCATTTAATATTATTATTATTATTATTATTATTAATCAAGGTTCAGATTTGGTGAAGTGTGGAGAATGTAAAAGAATAAATAAACGACAAATGGGGGTGGTTAACGAACAGTGGAATGGATGCAATATGTGGAAATGGAATAAAAATGAACTATTCCAATGTCATTGTGATGGTGAAATGCAATGGTCACTATCTATGGAAAATGATTGAAGATTCTATTTTTTAAAAAAACTTGGTAATCGCTACCAAAGCAAAGCAAAAAAGGGGAAGCTCAAAGGTAGGATCAAGGGAGGACCACACTAAATAAAATAAAATAAAAATAAAATAATATGATACCACCCATTATAAGGGGCCCCGATAAAGGAATCACCAGGTCCAATAGAGGGCCCAAGCAACCACCAGGAAGGTCCCCTTTGAGTCTGATTGATGATAACTGATCAACAGACCAGTCCATACGGACGACGACATTCATCCACGAAATGCCCCCCCCCGCATGCTCCACCTCAGCAAATTTCACATGGAGCACAAAACACGGGAACGCACTGGACGACACGGTACCACCCGGCCAGAACTACCTACCTACCTACCCACATCGACGACGGGCGTCCACGCACACACATCCAAGCGGCGCACATGGGCGCTACACCACGTCCAACCGACGAAGGAATGACGGAGCGCGGAATCAGGACGCAGTTCGTAGATATCGTTCGTTGAGATTCTCGACGAATCGTTGGACGAGGAAGTGGTGGTGGGGGTGAGAGGGTCGATCCGAGCGAGGTGCGGTGGTAGGGTCACGGCGTCGTCGAAGTCGTCGCTGTGCAGGAGGCATCCATCGACGCGGGGGGGGGGGGGGGCCCCTCTTTCGGTGGTGGAGGTGGTGGTGCACTGTTCCCCGAGGTCGATGCGAATGTCCTTCCTTCTCCGGTTTGGTTTTTTTTTTTTTTTTTTTTTTTGGTATTGTATTGTTATAGTTTGTTTTTTTTTGTTTTTTTGTTTTTTTTTTTGTATTCCGAACTGGGTGTGGGGTGTGGGTGTGTGTGGGTGGGTGTGTGTGGGTGGGTGTGTGGGGAGTGAGTGCGAGTTGCACTGGGGGTGGGGAGTGGGAGTTGTGCTAATGTTGTAATCGCCTGCGAGAAAGCATCAATCTCAGGTGGATGCGGAACAACCCCAGGTGGTGGTGGTGTTGGTAAATGCGGCTTCGGTGCTCGCTCGCTCGCTCGCACCGTATCCACCATCCCCTCTCATTCCTCCTCCTATACTCTAGGATCTGGGTCTTTCCCTTCTGGGGTGGTGGTGGTGCTGGCTTCCTCCTCCCTCTCGGCTTTGTTTCTGCGTCGTCGGTTTCACGAGGCGGAGGAGTGTCGGGAGTCGAAGTGCGGGATTCCAGGTTGGTTTTTCTGTCTGCTTGATTTGTATTTTTATCCCCTTCCCGCTTTTGGTCTAGTCGTGTTTTTTGGTGGGTTTGTGTGGGTTAAGGGACATGGTTTCTAGGTTTATGCTCCGCACGGGGGGAGAGGTTTTGGATGGTGAGGTGAGCTACAAGAGTTGTGGGAGGTGAGAGATCTTTGTGGGGTTTATTAGTTTTTTTGGTATTGGATAGTTGAGGGGAAATGGAGGGAGTGCTTTGGTAATGTTTGCTCACAGATCTCGCGCAGACGATGGTGTTGTGGAAATAGTGAGAGATCAGAGAACGAGGGACCAGCTTGGGAGTGAGAGCAGTAGAATCGCTGCAGTAGTGGGGTGAGATCTGGGTGTGAGAGGTTGCATTTTGGCAGAGGGAGTTAGTCCAGTTTGTTTTGGAACCAGAGGTTGAGAGGCGGAAATTGGGTCGGAAGAAGATTTATGATGACTGAGTACAGGCGCTGGGATCCTGCTGAGGAACAGGATATAAGATGCGTTCGACTGCGCAGAGCTCTGGAATCCGCCCTTTTTCTAACCTCTGCTGGAGTTAAATTACAGGGTAGAGTTCTTGCAACCCATGCAGGGCGACCAGATCTTCAGCTCGAGGTAGGCTGTAATGCCAGTGCCGCATCAACCAACCGAGGTCACTTACGCCTTGTGCACGACTGTGGGTCATTGAGCGGAGCCCCATGAGTCTGCGATCTGAGGCCAAGAAGCAATTGCATGAGGATAAGGTTGAGAGGGTGGAAATGAAGGAGACGGAGACCATTAGGCGGCCGCTGCCTAGGTTCCAAAAGGACTCCACGAACTCTGTGAGCGCAGGTCGCGAGAGAGCACCAGTTTCGCCTCGGACATGGCCGCTCCTCCCTTTCTTTGCGGCTGTTTTGTGTATGGGCATTCTAGGCATGCGCCTTCTACCTCCCTCCAAGTATACCAACTGGGCTGATCCTTTCAAGAGCTGGGACCCCCAGGACAAGGTAGGCATCAAATTTCATGCCCTAACTCTACTCCCGACTGCTCATAAGTCACCGCTGGGTAGCTCTGAGTGTTATTTGTTCCCTTTTCACATGGCGGAACCAATGCGCTAGACGAAAATGAAGCAGCTTAGGTCAGAGCTAATTCAAACCTCACCAGGTTCAAATCGATATATTCTATGACATTGAACTCTCGCAAATATTTTGGTAGCCGATCAGGTGAATTGTAGACCTTATGTCTTTTTCGTCCACGTTTTTGAGCTATTGGTGTTTTCGCTTGTGTTTTTAAGGAGGAGCCAAGTTCTCTGATCGAAAATGGGTGCGTTTGAGATTTCAGTGTTAGAGTAGCTCGTGATGTCTTTCTTGTGATTTGGCATCTTTCATACCCACCTTGCATTTTCTGCCAGATCAAGTTGTGTTGAAAGCTTACCCACATTTTGCTGCAGTTTTGAAGTTAATTTAGCTCAGGTGCAGTGATGACATCATTCAGTTTTCAAAGCCAGGAGATTATCTTCTTATTGTTGGTACTGCATTTGACATGGGCATGTGAGGCTGAACTGCGAAACATTGCGTAGGCAGGATTAACGTATTGAGACTAGATTTTTGTAGCTATCTGTGGCTAGAACTTGAGAGCCATTTAGGTTTTTATTCCTGGTTGCGTTGACGCTCGAAAAGGCGTTGCACAGGCATGTCAGAGATCTCAAACTGTGTCAAGCCGTTCCTCCTTGTCGTTAATGTTGAAGGGTATCTTGGTAATGGAACAGTTCCAGAGATCAGAGAGACAGTGAAAAGTTTTGCTGTGATTCTTGCCAACTTCATGGTCTTTAAGGGGCTATTTGAGGGAATGCGGAGGATGGGATAAGGGCCCGACGAAGTGTAGTCAGTGAAGCTCAATCGTAATAATTGGGTGACTCGTGTTGGCACTTGAGCTGATACGTGATGTTTCAGTTTTGAGGTTGCGTTATCAGTCATATTCCCATCTTCAGGCAGTAAGCTGTATCTCTTGTGGGGGAAAACTTTTGCTGATTAGGTTGTAACAATGCATTACCCCGCAGAGACATGATTTGAGGGATACTTCATAATATGGATGCAGTAATACATGAGGATTGCACCTTATCAAATTTGCCATGTTTGTGCTTTGGGCGGATCCGCGCCCAAGGATGTTAATGCTTGCAATTCTATCTCCTTACCGAAAGTTTGAAATGTTCTTTTAGGCACTAGTTATCAGAATATGCTTCACATTAGCCTCTGAAAAATTTTCTCGTTTTTACAGCGGTGGGCTTTTCCCAATGTAATGGCATCTTTCCACTCATGGAAGCGCAGTCAGCTTCAGGACAATCGTAATGCTTTTGAACAGGGGCTTCAGGCTGTTGTGTTAGATCCCATTCTAAATGCAGAGTCTGAGGAGGGAACGAACTATTCCCTGAAGAGGGAGGACGAGCCCATTGACGTTGTAAAGAGGGAGGATATACATGTTTTTGTTTGTACCGATGAAGCTGATCTTCGACCCCTTGCTGTATTGATTAACTCCAGCATGGCGAATTGCCCGTAAGTCTTTCGCTTTGTATGCGACTACCTTCTCACCTAGGCTTTTTGGCAGCTTCTATTCCAATAAATTCTCTATCTTAATTAAACTCTGTACATCGCTTGTTTTTAGAACGGAAGTCCCGGGTTCTCGTTGTACTTACAGTCCCTTTCGCGTGTCGAAATCTAAAAGAGTTGGTTGCTTTCTCTTGGTTTTAATGCACCTTGAATCAATTCGCAAGGTTGCTGTTGTTGTTTCAGTAGTGGCCCTCTTTTGTTTTCTAGTTTATGTTCTGAATGTGACGGTATAATTGTTATTAACGCTTGTTTCGAGTTGTACCATTTGCCTCCATTCTCATAACTTGACTACGTTTGTTATAGTGTGTGAATGTCTTGTAAAAGATTTAGAATGATTCGGAATTGAATTAATCGACTAACACCGATGTTGTTCTTCATGATGCCCTCTTGTTAAAAGAGTCCAGTTCTTCTCTTGTCATTATTCTTGCCTCTCTTGAAGTGAAAGAAATTTTATACATCATTCTAGGAACTGATTGGTGGGTTTTGTATTCAACGTCTTATGGTTGTAGATGCATCATGAAAGCCCGTTTCCGTACACCTTTGAGTTTTCTAATTTTCTTTTTTTTGGGTTCTTATGTTAACAATTCCAACGATTTGTCATTTGACTGCAGACATCCAGAACGCCTTTTCTATCATTTGGTCATGCCCTACAGTCAGAGGAATGCTGCTAAACGTCTAAAACATCTGTTTCCGAATGCTAGAGTTGAGATGGCCGAGTGAGTTTGTCTTTCTCAAGAATTTTTTCTTGCCGAACCATTCTTACTTGAGATGCTTTGATTTTTTTGATTTTTCGAAAAAACAATGTCAGATTGGTCTTTATTAACAAGCGTAACTCTTTACAAGAAATTCTATGAAATCTTTTTAGTGAACCCATCACCTGGTTCGATTCGGGATTTTTTGCTGTATAGTTTTAGTTTTTCTGTTTAGTACTTCTTTAGTGCGCTTTGTCACTCATCCCCTAATCAATTATCGGAGTTGTCTTTTTTGGTTCGACACAGAAAGTATATCGACATCCGTGAGGTGGAAGAGCATATCACTTTCCGGAATGACACTGGAGCTCGCAAGGAGCTCGTCAGTCCCTACAATTTTCTGCCATTCTACCTGCCAAAAACATATAGCGAAATTAGGCGAATCATCTACCTAGACTCTGATATTGTAGTAAAGGTATTTATTTTCGAGTCTGTTATGCTGGCTTTTCTTAATCTTGATGACAAGTATCGAAGTGGGTACATGGTTTCTCTCACATGTTTCTTTTGTGGATTCTAACTGCATTTATTTTCGGGCGTCCAGTCTTATCGCTGGTCCTTGGTGATGGACATGTTCCACTTGTGCAGTACTTTGAGGTCTCTCAAAGCATCTGAATTCTGTACTTTTTGTCGAGTAATTGATGATACGTTCATTTGACTCATAAGCAATGTGCATCTGATTGTTTGACAGGGAAATTTGGAAGTGCTGAATGATGTGGATCTTGAAGGTCATTCAGTGGCGGCCATTGAAGACTGCTCGCAGAGATTTCAGGTTTACTTCGATTTTGCACAATTGGATGAGATTCATAAACGACAGGGACCAGATCGACCAAAATGGCTACCAGATGAGCCTTTCAACAAATCAGCTTGTGTGTTCAACCGGGGGGTACTTATTATCGATACCAATCAATGGATTGAACAGAACATTACCAAAGCTATTGTTTGGTGGATGGATGAATTTCGAAAGGCAGACAAGAAGGCATTATACAAGTATGCACTCTACCAAAAAAGAGTACACAAAAATTATTTTTGTGCTTCTTTATCCCTCATTTGTACATCATCTATGCATTTTTCGCAGGTTCTTATTGTGCTTTGGTATTTTTATCCTTCCAGGGCGGGTATGTCACAGCCACCCTTTCTACTTGCACTCTACGGGAAACACAAGGTATTGGATGAGACATGGAACGTTCGAGGTCTCGGTCGACCTAATCTGAGTGATATGGAGAGGATATACTACAAAAAGGGTTGGAACTACACTTTCGATCGAATCCCTTTCATGTCCCCATTTGCCGATGAAGCAAATATCCTTCATTTCAATGGAAAATATAAGCCTTGGAAGGGCAAGCGCCATCGTGGAGAAAACGACGACATTATTTCGATTTGTGGTGATCCAGAGAAAGGCCAAGAATGTGCAGGTTTATGGTGGGAGTATTTGTCCCCAGAATCCAATGATTTTTTAAAGAAGAAGCCCTTGTCGAAGGGTATTCTGTAGGATGTAGAGTAGGACGTCTCACATTTCATTTCATTCTCGTGTTTCGTAGTGCAGCTTAGTTCTGGGTTCACAATCAGCTTGTTGTGTAATTGCCGTCCCATATCCTGGGAAAAATTTAAGACACGTTTTGGAACTTGGGAGAGCTAATAGGAATCTGGGGGCAGTGTTCCTTCAGGTGCGGTTTCTGAGCTCCTCCTCTGTAAACAAGGGCTAACAAGTGGCTCATGTGTCTGGTTCTTCTATAATTCCAACAGCATTGAGGCATAATCGAGGAAAATTGAGGCATTCATTCCTTGTCTATTTTGTCCATGCCATAGTGTACGATGTCAACTATGATGTCTACTTTTATGTTCCTCTTCTCGCTGCTTTGTATCTGAGAAGTTTACTGACTGTGGAGTGTCCTCTCAATTAAATAGGCCAATAAACCTAGGCATCCCCCACGCAGTATTAAATTTCAAGCACAAAATTAGGGGATGACGTTTTGAGATGGCAGAAGGATCAATCGCTGAAAGTTCCTCTTAAAAAAAAACCTTTCCATTTTGGAGCAATTATTCTTAACTATGAATTTCAGATGAGGATGAATAGTTTATCTTCACTTATCACCTTTACGGAGAATATCATGCTTAAAGCTGTTTCACTCTCAACATGTGACCAGTTCCGTCTTATATTACTCTCGATATAAATCTGTTCACGTCAGGAAATGGGCGCATACTAACATTCTAACCATGATATCTATTCACTTCCATTAATCCCGAATTGCAATTAGAATTCATTTCACGACCTCTTTGTAGACGATTTGTCATTTTTCGGTGTTATTGTTATTACTGCGGGAAGTCACAAAGTGCAACTAGCATCAGCTTGTCGTGTCCGCACTTGCTGCTATCATCATAATAACTATTATACCCATATACTCCAGGTTCAGTGGTACTCAAAGGTGAATGTGCTTTCGATGAACTGTCTAAAACAACAAAACGATAGAATTAGGAGCTCTCTGGTGTGAGAAATTACGCCGACACAAACTCGGACCACACAATTTGTAGTCACACTCATCTAGATTCATGCCGGTGATGGTTGTAACACTGGTGTTCGCTTGTTTGGTTTCAATATCTCATCCATTTTGGTAACGAAGCAGCAAAGTTTTGAGTGTCGCAAGTTGAGATCACATCAACTTACGGGGCCGATTCACCGCGAGCACCTTGATCTTCATGCCATCAGAGCAGTGGCCGGGGATAGAGCAGATGAAGTAGTGGACGCCGGGCTTGTCCAGCAACATGGAGGTGTCGCCATCGGCGAATTCGGGACTCAGGACCTTGGTTGTGGTGCACTGGTTGAAGTCATCGAAGGTCCCCACCTTCACCACGTTGTGCAACTCTTGCATGTACTTGAACTCTGGCAACACCAATCACCACCACCCCCCATTTACTCGTCCCTCAGTAACTCTCACCGAAAAACCACAAGAAAACGCACGATACGCAACGCATTGCAGCATTCGAAACTGTCAATAGTGATTCTCGCTGTTATCAACACAACCATAGGAAGCAGAGAGGGAGATAGAGGTTACTAAGAGTGTCGCCGACTAAGTATGTCTTCCCCTGGATGGCACTGAAAAACTTATCTCCAGTGGGGAAGTCCCACTTCACCTCGTACTCTTTGCCAACCGGCTGGGCACCAGCATCAGCCAACGACGCAACAGACAGCGCCACCAGAATCACTACCCACACTGCCATTGCCATGCCACTTCCCTGGCCCAATGAACTTCGCAACCTCGCTCTACAATACAATGAGCGCAATGGACCCACACTAGCTGTTGAGATACGCTAACAGGATGAAACATTCAAAAAGAACTGGGTACACATGGAAATCAGACACAAGTGCTCAAAACGAAGCGGATGCGAATTTCGTAGAGGCAGTTTAAGACAACTACTAGTACCAGGACGACCAGCTATCAGTTTGCAGGCAGAGGGTCCTCGAGTAGTAGAACAGCAGCCAGCTATCATCTGCCTTAAAACACTGCCAGAGACTGGACCTGACTGTGGAGTTATAAAGGTCCAGTGACTGCAGGGTCGCGTAATGAGGAGGAGCGAGGTGGGGAAGATGATGGTGGTGAGGAGGAGGCACGGAGGAGGAGGATGGAGGGCTAAGCATGGATTCATAAAAGCAGTGGCCCAGTGGGGCATTGAATGCGAGAAGCGGGAGGGTGGAAGAATGACACACGATCAGCTGTTCTTATATGGCACCCACTGTCGTTGCTCATCGTCGTCCTTGGATCTCCATCGCCGTGCCTGTCTTCCGGGTAGCTCCGTCCATGTTTCAAACCTTGTTCTGTTTTCACCTTTCGCTGCCTTCAGTCGGCGTTAAAGTTCCTCTGCGCCACTCTCTTTTTCCCTCTCAGTGGTTGTTTCGTTGCTCCAACAGAACTTGACATTTTTCTCTGACATTATACTGTGGTTCACTGCAGCAGCTTGACTTTGCTTCTTCTTCTTCTTCTTCTTCTTCTTCGTCTTTTCGAAATAAAGAGTTGGTCGATGATCAGAAGTTGCAGTTTTGTGTTATGGATTCAACTTGACTCACCGCCGACGTCCCTGGTAAAATTCTTACCAACTCTCAAGAGTTTCTCTCATCTTAGGAAACCATTCTAAGTGCAAGCTTGTATTCTAACCACGATGAGTCTGATTGCAGTGGTGATTTTCGACAGAGTTGAAGGAAATTGCCATAGCTTTAGGAACTCGGAAACCTGTTTTGGGAGAGAAGCTATCAGAATGACTCACAAGGCTGCTGCGTCGGTTAGAGCTTTATAGAAAATGAAATGGTTAAAGCACCAAATGGATTATTGAATAACATGAAGTTTTACATGTCATTATTTGGATAACGCTTCTCGATTTCTTAGATTTTGTATCATTACAACCGATTTATGTTATTCTGATGAATTTTTATGGTAGTTTTTGAGTGAAGGATCGTCAGACCAATGAATGTTTTACAGATGTGAATTTGTTGGACATCAATTACTTAAAACTGAAATGTAGCATTGTTTTTTTTGTTTTTTTTGTTTTGTTTTTTTTAAATTTAAAGATTGTCTTATTGCTAGAAATGCGAGTTTTATTACCATATAAAATATGAGTTGATATCAATCGAATGTAAATATAGTGTGTAACTTATAATTTTTTTTAATGTGCATTCAGGTTTCCGTTTGTTTGTCTCCGTGCTCACACCAGTATCTCGTCAAAGCAGTGGGTATGAAGAGGCTCTCCACCAGCAGTTGGTGCATGTCGGAGGGTCAATTTCTCGAAACTAGGAAAAAGAAGAACACGATGCATTGTTGAACTGTTTTCAGATTTACGTGTACTAGACCCAAGCCATGTTTTCACATAATCTACAACCCACAAGAAGCAGAAGCAAAGGGAAACAAGACTGAGCACCAGGTTTCACCTCAAAAGCAAGCTCTAGTTTTAAGTTATCAAAAGCAAGTTTTATGAAGTTCACTTGCTCAACCAAGTAGACACCGCAAGTGAGTTAGAGTCGACACAAAAACTCCCTGTTGGAGAAGCTAAAACCTCTAAACAAAACGCAAGACCCACCGGCTGAAACCTTCTCCAAATTGTGCTTCCAGACATGGTTGATCTCGATCATGCCTCGGATCGGTAACCATGCTGAGAGCAAGTGATCAACCGACTTGGCAACTGCGCTTGGGGCTGTTTAAGTGTCAGACAAGATTTGTGAAAACTCGCTTGGTGCAGATGGTGCGAGTGTGAAAGCCACAAGCACAGGCTCTAGATTCGAGTTGGTGCCATGCAGGAGCATCAGCTTTGAGGAGCCTTGACGTGCTTCAAGGTGGGTGAAGGCAGCGCAGGCATGCGTCGGGTTGTGAGTGCAAGATGGAGCTCGATGGGCCCAGGAACGTGCTCAACGTGGAGCATGCCAGAGGATGATGGAGATGACGGGAAGTGCAAGCTCTGCAGCCGACAGCACCATCCTCTTCTTCTTTCTCAACATCAATACTTGCAGGGCCTGATATATATATATATATATATATAAACTAACAAGACAGGCCAACACAAACACATTCTTGTAAAAATTAAGAGTAGCTTTGTAAAGAAAACTTACACGACCTTCCTAAGGAGAGGATCAATCATGCCATTTGTGGGTCCACAACCTGAATCGGACACTGTCACCATTTTGCAGTTTTGTTTTTGTTTTTGTTTTTTGTTCTTAGTGTTACGACATTTTGTGTTGTGCTTTTATGTCGTGAGTGGACTGTTCCGATGTCAAGCGGAAGAAGAAACGGCGACTTAATTGACATCGACTCGAGTTGCATTTCTAGCATTGAAATCCAGAATGCTTTGAAAAGTAAATAATCTTCTTCCAGATTGTTCCGTATTCATTTCTTTTCTTCTTTTGATTCCAGTATTTTCCACAACTCTTTATCAAGTTTAGCAAGTAATTTTTTTACCCTTCAATAATTTCAAGAGCATCTCTCAGACAATATTCTTGCCCTACATTTGATGAGCATTTAAGAGCAAACAAACATGAAAACTTTCATTGATTCACATCCAAGAAAAATCTCCTCTTGTTTATTGTTTGTTTATTTGTGTTTTCTTTCTTTCTTTCTGAAATTGATCACTCACCGTGCAACCTCCTATTTCATACCACACATCCATCAAACAAATAAAAAATATATAGTGGAAAGAACCCACAGAATTGGCCTCTCTCCAAAATTCCACTTCGGAAAGAGTATCACTGTTTCTCAAAGCCAATTCTATGGCTTCAATTCATTGCTGAAACTGTGCAAGAGGTAAGCTTTTTCCACAGTGGGGCATAAAAACCTCCCTTTATTTTTGTTTTCATAGCTTGAAATGGGGTCTGTATTGACTCTGAAACCATGTCGGAGGGGGACTTGGCAGAGTTGCCAGTCAGCACATGTGCGTGGTGGGTGGTGATGGTGTTGGAGGCCCATTGACAGGCACCGGAATCCACGTCAATTGTGTGGATTTCTCTTCAGAGTTGTGCATGTGGCCTTGAGTTAATTTTTCTACCTCCTCTGACTTGGCATGTTGTGCTTCCATTTGCTTGCTTGCTTGCTTGCACCCCCACAAGAGAATAAAAGCTGGCCATGATTCTTAGCTTAAGGAGACAAAGGTGACTTTTGTTGTGGAGAGCGATGGTGTGCTTAAAAGAGTGCTTTAGGGTTGTAGCACATACTACTCACAACTTGCAGAATGGGTTGTTGGATTTTTTTTTACAGGAATGTTAAATAAACCTAGGCTTTTACTAAATTGACCCACTCATCCTAACCATTATTAAAAAAAAAAAAAAAAAAAAAAAAATCTTCTACATTCATTTCTTTACTATTGGATCCAAAACCAATGAAAACCAACCACATTCATCATGGTTATCATATTCTTCATCATGGATTGATCAATTTAGTAAACATTTGGGTCTATTCAACATTCCCCTTTTTTTTAATATGATATTCATTTTCATTTGTTGAATGAAATTTTTAGCTTGTCATTATGATTTTGGAGATTTGGAGGTCAATCTAATACATGATTTACATTAAGATCATGATTTTGCTAGCATTTGGTGTCATAGGATTTGGACAACAATTTTTACTTAATAGTGATGGATAACTAATAGTTGTAAAGCAATGCCAAGAGGAGAGTTGCAAGAAAGGTGTCTACAAATCTTTAGAGGTTTGTTATTAAAAAATATTAATTAATTTATTGGAATTAAAAATAAAATAATAAAGCAAGAATATTTTATTCTTAAGAAATATGTGGTGATAACTACATATGTAGGAAGCAAATCCTTCAAGTCAACTTTCAAACAACAATTTATTTAATTTAAAAAAAAAGAAGAAGTGGGCAATATAATAACAATAATTTTTTTTAATAGAAAGATAATTTTTAAAATCATTTTATTATCTTTTAAAACTACCAAAACTTACAACTCTTCAACTTATGTAGATTTCATATAAGAACATGTACAATGCAAGAACAACCCTTAGACTATGATCATTTTGTTACTACTATAATATAACATCAAACTAGAATTTTTACATGAATTTTACTAAAATAGGTGCACAATGAATTCAGAATAATTAACTAGTCTATGGCAAACAACATCAACAATTAAAAAGAGAAGATATAAATAAAATTAAAAAAGGTTGATGCAAAAAATTAATATATATTTTTTATTTTTATTTCTTTATAAAGAATAGAAATGGGATCTCTTTTTGAGTTGTTAATTATTAACAAAAAAAAAATAAAACAAATAGAACATTTGTGTAGACTATTACTTAAAAACAGATAGATATATGTATTGTCTAGATTTATCACATGAAAGTTAAGACTATCAAACACTTGTTAAATTTATTAAAAAATGAAAATCCTAAATTGATTAGCAACAATAACAAATATTTACAAAAATAATATCACAGGCAAGCAACAATTTAATGTAAATGTGGATAATTTTATGCTTGTTACAAAGAAGAAACAAAACACACAAAAGAACACAATCCAAAAAGGTATAATAAGAATCAAAAGAAATACAAAAATCAACACAAATTCTTCTATATAACATAAAAGAAATATAAAATATAGTACAAATGCCTAAAACATGAAGAGAGGTTATAAAGAAAAACAATAAAACAACCACTAATACAAAAAATGTCTAGGAGTGCATAATATTACACCTAAGTCAAGAAATAAGTTAAAAAATTAGTAGATGAATTTTTTTCATGATGTTTTAAAATTTTCAAGCATTGCAATAGAGGCAAATGAGGTTGTACACAACAATATTAGAAATTATAAATCATTGAGATGAATTGGTAAGCAATACAGCTATGTCATAAGAAAAAGATAATTAGTTGAAGATTGATCAGAAATTAGAAAACTGACCTTTAATCACTTGTAATAAAAGAAAGAAGATATGAGTCAAAGAGACGTTTAGGTCAACATTTAAGCAATCACAAGCAACGACATCTCTTCCTTCCTCCTTTTAAGATCATACCACCTTGATTTCAATTCCAATCCAGTGACTCTTTTCCATGCTTTTTTCTAAAATTAGAGTCTTGAAAATAGTCTTTATACGTAGGGTAATTACCACAAAAAGAAACTTACATATGTATTAGCAAAACGTTAATTCATAATGGTTCCGCACAACATAAATAAAAAAGAACCCTCTACCCTAATTATGGCCAACCTCTCTTCGTTTAGCAGCGGACCCACTGGGTTCACCGAATACCTCGTCATTCCTCAACTACCAATGCACAGAAGCCGCAATAAGCTAGAAATCCACATTGTACCCAATTGTTAACAATCAATGTGATCGTCACGAGGGAATGTTTCATTATCACTCAATCAGTGCACAAAATAACAAACATGACAGGAGTCGAAAGTACTCCAAGTTACAAGTAACAGTTGAAATCTGCAGCTGTGATAAAAGTTGTTATCACACATATGCAATACAATTGAGACATGACAAGTTGGCATCAGAAGACACTGCTTCATGTAGGGGAATGCCACTGTTTCAACCCCATACCCTAGACCTGTAGTTTCGGTACATCAAATAATTTACCCACAAATGCATAGAAAACGTGTGACTTCGACCAGTCTGCAGTGAAGAAGGGCAGTCAAATAAAAGGCACAGCAATGCAGACAAAATCCAGAATAATAAGAATTTCACTGTCAGAGATCTCGACTTTTCTGGACTTTCAGAAGGGTAGAAACTAAAACAATCACCTCGATGTATCTTTCGTACACTCAGTAAATCAACACGTGCAATCCGATTGTTTTCATACTCTACCTCGAAAATCGAAATGATAAGAACTATGTCTCGATGAAAGGAGCATGACTCAGGCACTTAAAAACTGTGGAACATCACCAATATCACAAATCCACTGCACGGATGTATGATTTCATGAGCAGTATATTCGTGTAATTAGGGACCAACAACATTATCTGATTTTCTAAGATGAACTCTCCTTGTAAGTTTTGACAGACGCTACAATGCGTGCGGATCTGCTTCATGTGCAGAAAATTTCAAGCTGATAAGACACAGAACCACAGAGCAAAAACCACTAAAACCATGCAGCTGTGTTCGATGCATGATATGGGGGGAGGAAAGGTATGGACAAAGTCGCACACTTGGAAATCTAATACGATTTAGAAGAAACACACTCGAGAGATAATAATGCCAAACTCAAGTTCAAAGATTACCTCAAGTAGTGTAGTGTTGGTTGTGTGATACATCAAAGCATTAAGAATTGTCCACGTGAACGACCACTGTTTGACTGACAGTTCGAGTAGTTGGCAGGTCTTAAGTTGCACCTGGTTATGTTCATTCTTCTCTAGCTCCTCAAATTGGATTCACTCGTAAGCTAACAGCTGTAGACTCTGCATCTCGGATCCACTATGTTACAATTCTCCAAGAGAGGGAGATGGAGCGTTCCGTGGAAGTCTCTGGAAACCATCACGAAACTCTAAAACATGTATTTGTGTTTACGAAATTGGTAGCCGAAAACCCTACAGGTGAACCTGTTCTGTAGATGAACCTTAAACCCTCTACCAACTCCATGCACAGCGCTCACTGCAAACCCCCATAGCTGAAGGAGCGGACAGGGTCTGGCTCACGTCTGCAATTTCCGGGCAACAGGTACTTGTAGGCCTCTATATTTTCTAACAAATACTTTGGCAAGTGTACTCCAGAAAATGAACGCGCAATTGAGCCCATCTTGCTAATGAGCTCCTGGAATGTATATTCCTCCGGAAGCATATCAAAAAGGTCACTCCCCTTACATATAAGGTTCTGAATCCGCTTAGGATCCAGGAAAGAAGCATATCTCACACGGTCAGCATGCGAGTAAGCTTGCATTTTGAAGACAAAGTCTCGGATATGTCGGAAGCAGAAACTGCAGTGCCAGCCCGCATCTGCCAGGAGATAGTCCGTCTTCCGAATGTGCTCATACTTCGTGGAATTCTTATAAAAAATTTCCACATTTGATCGCCAGGAGTTATTATCAACCAGAAACTCAAATGAGTAGAGATAGTTTCGTAGCTGGAGGTGCATGATAGGAGGGTACCCGTCGCAGTTTTGGAGAAGATTAATTGTGTGAGCAGAGGGGATCTCGTCGACGTCAGCGGTGATGAGAAGGTCGCCGTCCTCTATGCCTGCGAGGATTAGGGCGCCAATCATAGCGTCTCTTTGATAGCACTCATTGATGAAGGGATCTTCGTTGGGTATGAAAGGGCGGCTGGGGAGGAAGAAGTGGAGGAGCTGGCTGTGGATGAACTTGAATCGGGTCTCCTTATGCTGTTTGAAGATGAGGGATTTTCGCTGGCCCGTGAAAGTTGCGTTAGATTCTAAGACGAGAAACTTGGTTACTATGGGCATGAGCTCCTGCAATTATAAACCAATTCTTAGATCGTCAATCGAATTAGAAGCCAACCGCATTTCGTAAAATGTAAAACTAATGTGAGATTGTGCTGCAACTTTTGGGTCTGGAAGAAAAATTTAGAGCTTTGACGTACTCGCATTCTAATTTCAAGCAAGTCAACCTCGTTGCTGAAAATGACGGCATCGAACACGCGGAGTGGTGTCTCCCGCGGAGTCCAGCCATGGATCTTACATAGTTCGGGTGTGGAGAGGCCTTCCGCGTAATAGTGGGGAATAACCTGCAGAGGGATTACTCAAATCTTTCAGAAAACTAACCAACATATGAATCATCCTTGATGCACACGTAAGATTATAGCCACGGGTTCTGAAGCGTTATCATTTCCATCCTACCTGAAGCAAATCACCCAAGCGTACTGGCAGAGACTAGCTGCTCTGGGTCGACATCGAAGCTGGAATAAGTTAAAGAATGAAATGACAAGTGAAGGTGGGCGAAGTGTACATGGAAGGGCTTCGGAGGAGTATCCCAAAGTGGTCGCAAAAAATAGGAAATCTTGTGGTACTGAACGTAAATGACGGGCACCAATGACGCGCAAATGCAAAGAATTAAGAACGAAAGCTTCAACCGTGGAGCTGGGAGCTTCGCACGGGACGTCTTTGTAGTGCCCCTCCAAAGATTCATAGCTACTGCCATAACCTTGTGAAATGTGCATCATGTGAAAAGATCCTCAAGCCCAACCATGTGACTGCACTGCAGACTAAGAAATCCCTGGGCGGTGCGATGAAGGCAGGATCTGTACCATCCAAAGGAACTGAAACGCATTGAAAGAGATGGATCAAGCTGCCAGTCGGTGGTATTGAAAATCATACACGAGTAAGCACGCACGATGCCTCGCTGTGAATCTACGGCAATCACAACATGTACAATCGGTAAGCCCAAACCCTAGCAGGTAAATGTTTAACACGGACAAGGTGATTCAGAAAAAGAAGACTGCTCAAAAATTTCCCCCAGGAGCTAAAGAACGAGAAGTGGTGTACATACCAATTTTAACCTAGCCTTGAGGGATCCAAACTTTTCTAACGACAAATCGGAGCTTTGTTATGGTGAATCGAAAGATGCACAAAGGTTGCAGGTGGGGAACCAGTAACAAGGAAAGTCATGAGTAAGGGTTCACGCGTAAAAGAGGGGAGGGACGAAGATAGTGGACCTTCCAAAGATTTAGGGCTAAATGTCCTTGATCAGGATTTCCGTAGCTGATTTACCTCTAGCAACAGATCTACCGAGAGAGATGCCCACATTCCAGAATAAAATTTCAAACGCGGAATCCAATTTTAGAACAATTTCTGTCTTTTGTATTATCGAAGGCAATATCTGAGATGAGGCAGAAGCGGATACGTTAACTTAAGAAATACAGCTGATGCCAGGATGTTCACGTCAAATTTTCTCTCTGGGTACTTTTAATCAGAATATAAAAAAGAAAACAAATTAAAAATATAAACCCTGGATAGCTTCAGTGAACAGAAACACATCTAGTGTCAGAGAGAGGTTGTGGACGAGTGAAAAAAACATTGAACGTTACGGCCCTCAGAAATCGTAAAAGCCAGGACGACGCAAACTGTAGTTGTTACTTTCCAACAGTGCATAATCGGCCAGGGTCTAAGGTTTAGATCATATTCCATGGTCTAATAACCAGAGGAAGTTGGACAGCATGAAGAAGCAATCGAGTAATCTCTTGGAGCGAGGTGCATTCATTACTTATAGCTGCAAAGAACATTCAAACCTGAAAGTTCAACATAAACTTATGACGATGTGATGATATAACAATTTCCCATAATCAAGCAACTCCTTTACTGCGATAGGATGGTTAGCTACATATATAGCCAATGAGTATGTTACAATGGTTCCCAAGTCTGCACCTGTCTACAAGTTTGGCTACAGCTGATTTTCACAACCTCAACATACCTCTAACAATTACAGATTATGATTTCTACAGTAGAACTTTTTGGTTTCACCTCACCCGAATTCCAGTAATGCTAAATTTCACATCTACCACTCCAGCTCACCTACACTTTTAAAATCTCTACTACTGCTACATCTGTACCAACCGAAAATTATACGTTAATACATGGAGCTTTCCGACAGTGCAAAATTGAATCACATTCCCCTGGCATATAATTTACAAATACTAAGTATAGAACATGTCTCATAATCTCATGACGTACATTTGAAAATTGGTCTTCAACCAACTCAAATATTCACATTCCTTCGAGATATCACATCCTCCCAACCTTTCTGTAAACTTTGCACATGTATTCTTGTGAAGCGAGGTTTAAGCTGCATACAAACCACAGGCCTTGTCATAAAGATGTTAATTATTCTCAAAAACTGAATTACAGATCGAACAATATTACTAGCTTGAAAAAAAAGTCTCGGATGAAAAAAAAAGTATAACTTTCCATTCCGGAAGGCCAGACGCAATTCAAGAAAAGATCAGGTGCAGTATACACACGAAGACTCAAAACTTCCTCCTTGCACCCAGGTGCCGACTTGAATTCTGGATCCGGCCACTTCTCGAGTTCTGTTTGGGAATTTATTATTCCATGTCCTGTGGAGCATATTGGGATGTAAGAATTAAACTAAAAGGTTTATAAGAGAAGGAAATAGATTTGTTTGAAATAATATCAACTATAATACAGGGTATCGTATTGAGTTGTCACCTTTTTGCCACTTCTTTGCAGCGCCCTTAATGCCCCATTCCTCTCCAAGTGTTAAATGACAATGCTGCTTAATGGAATCAAGAAGTGTGAGGAGCTCATCAACATTTGACATGAATGTTTTGCCAGTGAAGCCCATCTCCTTTATCTTACCGATCGTTTCTGCCCGGATTCCAAAGCCATCAAGAAAAAAATCCAGATCTGCAAGATCACCTGTATCCGACACCTGCGGACATCGTCATAGCTGGTTTTAGAGGAATTCAAACGATGAAAAAATGCAAAAAAGAATACTGTGCAGCATGACAGCTGGAATATCTTAGTTAAAAAATAGCCACTACCCTACAGCAAGTAATATAAGAAAGTGTATTATTAGAATAAAATATTCTGAACTTTATATGTTGTGCAAAAATCCAAATATCCTTTCTCTTATCCAAAGAGCCCTAAACCTTCCTCAAGTTGCTCTAATGGGGGCAAAGGCCTTACCGTTGACTTGATTGCCGAGTGGTTTACATAGTTCACAGGTAATCCAGCTTGAAAAGCCATGTTTCTCAGAGCTTGCTCCACGGCGAGTTTTTCCTCCGTGTGCTTCGGATCGAGCATTGGGTCTCCCTGCTGAGCATCTTTCCGGCGTTGGTGTGAGGTTCGAGATGCCTTAAAGCTTCGGTTCTGACGATTCTTCCGCTCAACTTGAGATTTAGCTAGATAACTCAGCCGAAGCTCTTCCCGAGCCTCTGCCGGACATGCTGGGCACCCCGACACTTTCTCAGGATGTCCAAGCAAGTGCGATCTGATGCGCATGGCATTCCCTTGGAATACTTTACCACAGTGTGTGCACTTCACATGCCATGCCATGCCATGCTTTGCAGGCTCCTTCACTACCAGCACATGCCCCCACTCTCCTCCTTTCACCCTCACCATGGCTTACGACAAATCCTGCCCGAATGTGCAATTTAGAGGGCGTAATTCAGTGCTCGAGTTGCAGGAATACGTGAAACAAAAATTTGAGTCGGACAAACAGCAGAGAACAGGGTGAAATTAGAAAAACACAATTCTGGTGCGGACACTTCTATGACTCGAGAATTGGGTAATTGTAAATTTAGATCATTTGTCAATTGGGGATATTAATATAATGACTTTAGAATGAAAAAAGGACGAGAAACAGTCGCTAGGTTTACTTGAACGTGATATGGAAAAGGTTGCATCTTCCAGTAACTAACCTGGCTGTAAACTGAATATTGATAGGGTTAGTCCGTCTGGTTGCGCTGTTTTTCCCTCCCTGATCATAATTGAGCCTTATAGGTCTCAAAATACGATGAACCAAATCATCAAAAGGAGCACCTATGCGCCAGGACGATATCACCGCAGTGGCTCTAAAAATTGATCAAGAACAGAGGTACCCAATTTTAGAGCGAGCAGTACAGTTCCACCTGATATCAACCAAGAAGATTGAAGCACATGTAAGATGCGAGGCGAATTTTTATGACACGATCGCCTCCTCCATCTAAGAAACTTCTGCCACACTCCCTTCGAAAATCCACAAACCGAGCCCATGAAAAGAGCCTCACATCAACCATATCCAAATAATACACTACAAAACAGTAGTGAAATTAATTCACCAACGACCGTCCGAAGATAGAAAATCATGGGCGATCACCTAAAGGAGAAGCACAGGGGGGAGGGAGTTCAAAACCCAAAACAGATCCCCCTCTCCAAAAAACTTCGACCTCTCCCACTCACGCTCATAGACTCAATACATGATCTCAGTCACCAGAACCTCCGATTCCCCAACCAAAACTCAAATTCAGCGCAACAAAAAAAGAAAAAAAGAAAAACCATTTCGATTGCGATCAGTCCTCCAGACTTCCCACCACACATGCCAGAGGAATTCTACTTAACAACTCAAAAAAGAGAAATACAAATTACAAATCAAGACGTAATTGCAATAAAATTTGGCTAGGGGAAAAGGTTGCAGATGGGTCCTCACCAGCGGCATAAGAAGAAATCGCGTTCGGTGCTGGAGCAGTTGAGGAGGGTGGCGGTGCCGTCCCTGCGGGAAGAAATCCGAACGGTGTCATTCAGGAATGGATGATGGATTGCGGAGTGCATGGCATGGGGTGTAGTAGTAGCTCCAACTTGGGCTTCGCTTCAACGCAACAAGAGTCCCCCCCCCGCCCCACCCCACCTCCCTCCTCCTCGAGGTCTTGCATGTCATGCCTCCGTCTTAACGGTGGTTGCCTGTGTGAAAAGGGAGTCTCAGAGAACTAGAATTTCCCACTTCCCGCTGCAGTTTACTGGTTTTAGAACCGCAGTCGAATGCGGCTTAAAAGTCCTTTTACTACACACGAATTCATTTTTCAGAACTTTAGAAACAAAAACTACCTTTTTCTGTACAATTTGCAACTTATTATTCTTCTTCTTATTCTTCTTCCCTCATGCATAAGAACAGTGCTCTGTGAATTCTCCAGTTTCTTCTTCGACCATCCAGTTCACCGGTGCCCTTACGTTTGAGTTTTGAGAACATGGGGCTTAAAGGATAACGCTCTAGGCAAAAACGTTTGTGTTGAGATAACCAACTAATTTCACAACAGGCTGTCGTTCTTTGTACCTCTGATGTTTAACTAATGCACCATGTCTTCTGTGGTGGTTGTAACAGGAGTTGCATATTCAGAGCTAAGACTACTGCTCACACTTGACTCGTGAGTTTGAGTATGACTGGCTCCAACGAGTTCTTCATTGAAATAAACGCTCTAAACGACCCCTACTCTATCCATGATTTGGTTTGGATACTCTGCGTCCACACAAAAATCTTCAATGGCTTAGCGTGACCTTCTGAGGGATAAACAAGAGTTCCTGCACGGATTTCCCTACATTATGCAGTATCCAATGTTGGAGGGAGATTATTCGGAGGGAACGAGTATCAGTATGTTCGTGATGAAAATCATAAACAGTTTGGTGCTGGGAACCTACTTTAAAGAACTGAATTGAATGGCTCGGAATAGACGAAAAGAATATTGGTTTTGTAAGCTCGAATGATGTGACAAGTCTTAGTATTAATAAGAACAACAATGTGTTTCAAATTGAACCTTCAAACCTTTAGGTAGAAGGTTGAATCAAATAAACTGCAAACCAAAATCTGGTAGCATCTCAAGCTCTCAAGCTCATACTTAGAGCACCTATATACAATAAGTAACACTGGCGAGCAATTCATTAGCCGAAACAAAGAGTCACTTAACATTCTGAATCTTAATACCGAATTGGACCAAGTAAGCTGCCATCTGCAAACTGCACAAGCAAAAATAAAAATAAACAACAACAACAACAACAACAACAACAACAAGATGTCAGTCACAAAACCATATTTTCTCAACTGGACTAAGCATAAACTTGGAACTTAGTCCAAGATTAAAGATAGGCGCATCAACTTCACCTAAATGCAATGCTCAATGGCCTGCCAATTCAATGTAACGTCTATCGTGCAAGCGGGTTAGAAAGAAAGAAAGAAACCATATGATATTTACGAACTACCGTCAATTTCGAACGGAAAGCGTCATCAACAAAACAATAAGTCTATGTTATCAGTGGTAGAACCCCAACAGTTACCTGGCGAACAATAGGATTTGTAGACGTATCAAACTCGGCAGTTGGGCCTTCCCAAACCACTTTCCCTTCGTGTAAGAACAATATTCTGCAAACACCAAACCGTAAGTTACCACAAAAGCGTCTAATTCTTCCCATAAACACAATTAACAAATACCGTCTTCATCAAAGTTAAAGTACCATAACTGAAAGGAAATGTTGGTCTTTCATCAAATCATGCGAAAGGAACTTGATCCATTCATTAGAAAGAACAGTGTGCTCCGAAGGGACTGAAACTGTACCTATCAACAGCTCGACGAATGGTGCTATGTTGATGAGTTACAACGACGTAAGAGGATATGGTTCCAGGCTTTCCTTGAGCATCATTACCATTTATGTGAACTGATCGAATCAAGTCCTCAACAACTGTCGAAGCAATTGGGTCCAGTCCTGCCGTAGGCTCGTCATACATAACCAACTGCAGTCAACCAATTCCCTTCACAGTCGTGAAAAACTTTCTTAATAAATCTCACAAGCCTCACAACAATTAAGAACCAAGCAGACGTCCATCATTAGCATCTACGCTCAACTCGTGTGTCCGAATGCAAGTAATAAGCATACGAACCAAGAAAAATTAAAGCCTATAAATGGATATTCTCCATACCTCTTCCTCCGTGCATCCTGGCTTGCCGTCAGAGATAATGGCACGGGCTAGAGCTACCCTCTTCTTCATACCTCCTGATAACTCAGATGGTAGTCGCTCTTCGACACCCTAGCACAGAAGAAGTGTAGAATCAGCGCCACACAAAAAATAGTGGCTGGACCGAAGTACGCCTAACTGACTCTTGGAAAACTTTGCTTCTAGCCCCCAATCCTTAGAATCAAAATAAGTTTCGTGTATTCATACCTTCAAACCAACAGCTGCTAAGCTTTCTCGAACTAGTTCAGCTATTCTCTCATTAGACAACTTGGAATGTTCATATCTGCACAGAAGTCGATGCAAGGACAGGGACTAGTCGGCAAAGATATTGATAAGAAAACCACGTTTATAAAAAAGCAGGGAAGAAGCTACTGCACTACAAGATTCACCCATTGCCAAGGGTATCCAATTCTGCTCTGAAGTCAAAGTGTAGCCCCATATTCTTTTATATAAAATCTCATGAAGCCAATACATGGTGCTTCGGGAGCGGATACGTACAGCATAAATCCAACATTTTCTCGGACGGTTAACGAATCAAATAATGCTGCACTCTGAAATACCTGCATAGGATATTAAAATTGAAGAAATGAGACAAGCACACAGCACTTTAAGCTAAAAATTGTAACATATATGTTTACTCTTTTTCCAAAAGATCCCGAGGACGCAGCTCTCTTCGCAGGCCGCGGGTCCAATCAAATTCTTACATATTATTAAGCAAAGTAGAAACAATGGCAGATCAATGCGCTTGGTCAGGCGTGATATAATCTTGCCAGGTTACCAAACAGAACCAAATCAAGGAGTTTGTGTCCTCACCAAACCAATTCGAAGGCCAAACGAATCTTCATCCATACTTGCCAGACCAACTCTTTTCCTTCCGCGTATATATACCTCTCCCTAAAAGCAAAGAAACGAAACACTATTACTACTGTCACTTGCATTTAGAAAAGTCAGAATAAATACTACGTGCTCCCAACGACCAAATAAACAGAGAAATAAGTTAGAAAAACAAGTAACATTCATTGACATTGAGAAAGAAAATCGCCAATACATCAGAACTTCTGAGCTAAGCATAAAATTCGAAACCCGCTTTGTATAGCTTGAGCATATCATTAGACTGTTCACCTTATCTGGAGCAAGCAGTCCAGCAATGATGCGAAGGATAGTAGATTTGCCTGTGCCAGAAGGGCCAATAATGCCCACTGCTTCTCCATGTCGTATCTGAAAGCCACGAAAAATTAGAGTGGGAACAACCGAATGATTAGCCAGTGACATTGACTGAGTTGTGCATACTGAAACTACTGCGAGTTTAAAAGAATTAGGGCTAGTATTCCGTGTGTATCAACATCTAGACTAAAATACCATTGCACAAGACACTTACTCACAGTTACATAGAAGGAATCAACTTACCTTAAAGCTAGCACCTTGCAAAATATGCTTCTCGCCGAAAGATTTGTAAACATTACGACATTCAATTAAAACCTCCGCATCTTCATCCGCAGCACGTTTGGTTCTTGGTATTGCCGCATCACCAACATTTACAGACGAATGATGCTGGCTCTACAATTCATATGTAAACGTGTTAATTTAAGGCATTCTCTTGCTACTGCATCATTAGTCTCTAACTACAAATACAGACTGTGGTTAAGTACTCGCACCAGCATCTGCGACTCGGAATCATGCAGTTTCAAAAAAATCATACATCTTAAATTATGAGAAAATGTGCATGTACAACTGATCTAAATATAAAAGAGTTTCACAATGGGGAAAATAAATGTGCACCTGAATCTCTTTCCACCTACCGGGCTCCATGTTGCCGCCTGTAGTGCGTGTAGCCGTTTCTGCAACCACCCTAGTCTCCCAAGAAATTCTAGTAAGCTGAGCTGAGAATTTGTACATATTAGAAGGCAGTGAGTCAGAGAAAGATAGTTTAATGTGAAAACCGGTATAAGTTTCTGCTTTACACTAATCTTCCATACCACTGCATGAATTCTACCAATTGCTTAAGCGTCTAGTAAACTGACCTTTCCATCTCACATCTTACGGCAAACTGTCCAAACCCGGACCGCCGTCGTACAGAACTGGAAATTGTTCCAACAGTCGTGGCGACACCAACAGGTGCGTGTGCCACCGCCATCATTGTGCCAAACGCAGAGCAATAGTCTGCAACTCGCACGTTCTGGAATATATTAAGTCAGTTCAAGGGCTCGCACAAAAGTTCAGCTATAGACAACTTGATGAAGGAAATAACACGAACTCGGGTATTTGACAATTTAGTGGCGTTCTGAGCAGCTACCGAATGAAGGGAATTCAGGAACCTGTTAACAGTTTCTCCTCATTCTTGCAATGAAATATAGTCTAGCGCAGAGCTCCACAGTTCTCCGAAAATGGCTCCAAAATTGTGTAAGAAAAGCTACACCCTCAGACTTCCGTGACTCGAAATACGTATTATTCAAAAAAATCTGCCGGACGAGAGCAGAAAATATCAAACTTTACGTCCACTACAACAAACCCTATCCGTGTGGACCAAGGTCATGAAGCGATCCCAGTAGCTAAAGGGTGAAATAAGCTCGTTCGCTCAGAGTTAGAGATGCTCTACCCTAAAACATCTATGTTTCAACACGTCTGCCGTAGCCGAAATCAACAGCCCTCTTTCGGAAACCATTGGTTTTAAAATTCTAGGACAAAAACTAATAATTTTTTTCCACTTCTTTTTTTCATTTTTCTTTCATTCTTTCTTTCCGTAAGACATGATCCAGGGAATTCCATCGACCAATTCAGATGCCCCTGTTCATGCGTAACAAAAATTCCTCGCAATAAAAAATAAAAAATAAAACACACACACACAAAAAAAACACAAAATAAATAAATAAATAATAAAAAACAGAAACAAGAGGTGGGGGAACAATACCAAGTCCACCAAGAATCGCCTACGACTTCAATTGCACACCAGCAAAAAAGCTTCTGTCCGAAATATTTTTCCTTCCCCGCCACTCCTGCATCTCACAAAATCCTCAATTCCTTCAAAACAAGAAAACAATAATAATAATAATAATAATAATAATAATAATCAGCAATCAGATGGCGTCCCTTGTGGAAACTTAAAAAAAAGACTGGGCACAATTCAGATCCCTGAAACACCACAACAACACCAACACATTGAACACACACACACACACACAAAGAGAGAGACTACACGTTGGAACCCAAGACTGGTCAGTCTCTCCTGGTTGTGCTTATCCGACGCTCACCTCTCCCTCACTCCGTGCGGAAGATTGGCGAAGAAGAAGAATCAATCAGAACCCCCCCAAAACAAAACAAAACAATACAATGCTCCTCCTCCTCCTCCTCCTCGCACTTACTCCTCGCATTCATTCAATCAACTCACTCCATCGTCATCCTCCTCGTGCTCCTCCTCCTCTGCTAGCCCAAATGGATGACCCCGGATCGGTTGACGGAGAAGACGACATGCTCCGGGTGGAATCCGTCGCCGAGGTGGATGGCTCCAGCCTTGTGAACCCCACGACGGATCTGGTTGTAATTCACCCACTTCCTCGTCTCCTGCGTCGCGACGGTTCCGCTCGTAACTTGTCTCGACTGCGTGGCCGCACGAGGCGGGTTTTCAAATGGGTGGACGTCACGTGTCGAGATCGCATTCGCTGGGTTTCCTTCTTTTAGAGTGTGCGAAGGGAGTTCTAGAATGCCATGTCAGCATATTGCTCGTTTTTTAAAAAACAAATATCAACACAAAAAATTACATATATATATATATATATATATATATATATATATAAAATGAAAATTGTACTCAGTATTAAAAGTTTAAAAAACAATTTGGCTTCCATGATTTTGAATTCTTTAAAAACATTTTGAAAAGTTTTATTCAATTAATAATATTCATTAAAATTAGATTGATTCAATATTATGAATTTTATTATAACAATAATTTACGAAGATTATCAGTTAAACAATCAATTTGGTTAGTTTTTAGAAGTTTTAAAAGTTCTAGAAATAACATATGTTTAATGACTCAATGTTTTAAAATAGTTATAATTTTTACACATATTTAGACAGATCCATAAGATTAAACAAGAATGTTGAAAAAATACTATTTGGATTATATTAAAAATATATTACTCTTTTATTTTTAAACTAAAAAATAAAAAAACTACGAAAAGAAACATACAAAGAAACACTTATTATTTTGGTGAAAGAATGCATATGATTCTTTAAAAATAAAACACAATGTTCAATGGTTCAATCAAAAATAATTGGGAATTAAATACTACTTACTATATATTTTTGTAGAATTTTACAATAAAATTATATTTTTTGTTAGATAATTTTACTGTGTAAATTGTTGAAGTGGAAATTTTGACTAGAGAGCAACCTAATTACATTTTTTTTTATTCAAATGTTAAGTCAAGAATTTTATGTATAAAATTCATTGATAAAAAAATGTTATTGAAAATCTTATAACTAAAAAATAATTAATATTCAACTACTTCAAAAAAAAGAATAAGATAAATAACTTTATATTTAGATGAAATTTTTGTAAATGATTATAATTGGTTGATGTAGCATTCTTTCAACCATTTTAGTAAAATAATTCAAATAAGAACCATACATACAAAATAGTAATAATAATAATAAATCCATTAATTAAAATTTGATGTTTTTACATATTAATTCTTATTTTTTATTTATTTTTATTATGTATATTACATGCACCAATAATTGTATACTTCTCAATGCAAAGAGTAGACCCTGTTCATTTAAATTATTGTTAATTTGTGACATAAAAAATATTTAGATGAAATTTATTATTTAGATGAAATTTATTATTGTAAAACATGACTTCACCTTCCACAACCAAGTACTTGACATTTCACATTTTATTTTTATATTTTTATATACCAAACATTATCATTAAAAATATAATTATTTTATTTGGACGAAAAGCATAAGTTCTATAGATGTGGTAATGTATATGTGTTTTGTATAAAATACAGTTTTAAAATATACATGCAAAGTATTTAAGATGATTTAATTTTTTTTGTTTAAGAAAAATTTACAATGTTCTCATATGCTTGAATTTTTTACAAATTTTGTACTTGTATTGTTGTTTACATCAGGGACTTGTGTCTAAACACATGTATACAAAAATATCTAGAGTTGTAATTAAAGTCGGCATTAGAAAAAGTTAAATTGATTGGAATTTGGTTATAAAACCTACTTCAATTTATATAAAATCCCTAAGCTAAAGCTTCAAATTTTGAACTTTAAATTTCATAATATATTTTTAAAATGCAGTTCAAAGTTTTTTCTTATTAAAATTGGCAATTGAGACAGATATTGTATAGCTTCATTGCTTCTAATTTATTTGTCGTAATATGTGTTGTCTTCTTTTAGAATGCACCAAGTACTTGGTTGTAGAAGGTGAAGTCATGTTTTACAAATATCCAAGAAACCAAATTGTGAGAAAAAGCCCAAAAACCGCATTGATATCACTTAGCCTCCAACTTGAAAGTTGATGCAAATGTTCCAATAGCAATTTCTCCTTCTCCAACTGTTAACTTCAACTCAAAATTACTATATAGCTTAATATTGATGTCTTCTATGACTATGCCAAATTTCACCTTGATCTGGCTAGTAGATCTCCAGATATCACAAAAATCCTACCCAACTCCAAATTGCCAACTTCTAATACCTTCTTGTACCAAAATCCAAATATCTCCCCATTGCATTGTTAGATTAACACAAAATTTTATACATTCTTAACACACCTAATCAACCAAGTACTTTCAAAGTTTGAACCATAGATGTAACACCAATTGCACAAACTAATCAAGAGTGCTAGCCCTAATTGTATTGTATGAATCCCAAATCACCAATACAAACCCTAACTTTGCACAACAATTGCAAAGTTATTCCAAACCCTTTGAAAATAAGTTTTACACCTTTCGAATAAGCTTGAAGCTAACTCACTAACTCTAAATTCCGATCTTCAAATGTCTCTTTGTTTTGTCTTAGGCGGTCATTTTAATGGCTAGAGGTCTGATTTTAACCTTGTTCCACAAATGGTCGACCCTTGAGTATCAATCTAACCTATCCTAGGGGTTTTTTAGTCCAACCCTACCCTCAACTTAATCCTAGTATCAATCATACTAATTATTTACCTCTTTTAACCTAATCTTACTAATTTATGTCCTTTCTAAGGCAATAATAGAATTTCTATAGCCTAAAAGGTAAAATTACTAACCAGCTTTCAATCTACTAGCTATTAAGACAAGAAAATAAATTAAGATGTTTTTTTATAAAATCAATGTTTAAATATCTTTAATTATTATTGAACCAAGATGATTAAATATTAATTAGAAATTTATTTTTTATTATATTTTCACCATGTAGTCGTGTTACAACACAACAACATTAATGTGAAGACATTCTATAAAAATACTACATCAATATGAACATTTTGTTTATTATATCAATTAATTGTTTTGAAGTTTGCAAGATTTATGATACATGACGTAACAGAAGTGCAACTAACTATTATTTTTACACATTCTTATGTATGTAATTTTTGGTATTTATTATTTTTTGATATATATAAAAATATATTTATTTATTCTACTTGTTAGGAATTTTAGTTCTGTAGTATTTCAAATTGAAAGTAATATATGAAATTATTAAATTGAACTAGGCATTTACTAAATCGACCCACCCATCATCATTTATTGAAGATCCAACCATTTTTTTTCATTAGTTTTTGACCAATCCATATCCAACATTGAAGATTTTTTTTTGGTGATAGTTAGAATGAATGGATAAATTTAGTAAATGCTTGGGTTAATTTGACAATTTTCTAAATTTATCTAAATAATCATCTATAAAAAAATAAAATTAAAAAAATGATATATAACTTCAAATTAGATGCGATGCCGATTTTAAAATTATCTAAATCAAAATTTCTTGTATCTTGCAATGTAATGAATGAGAATATCATATTACAAAAAAAACCTTCCATCATTTATGGACATAAACAAATTTGTTAATCCGACAATTCCAGGCAGAACTGAACGGGCTCGAACAGAGCACATTCCAAACAGAATCTGTCATCGTGCACCCTTCGTTAGCCCGGGAGCGATGGCGGAAGGAAGCGTATTCCCTGCGCAGCCAAGCCGAGAACGAGGGCTGCGGGAATGAGGGCGCAGCGACGGCGAGGGAGCGAGGGAGTACCAGTCCGAGGCAGAGGCAGCAGAGCAAGAGAGATACCACAGTGAAGAGTGGCACACTGTGCAAGCAGCAGCAGCAGCAGCTCTAGTCTAGAGGGTAATAGCTGCTGCGATGGCGGAGCCTGTGCCCAGAGTGGGAGTTGGGGTGTTGATTTGCAAAGGATCCCGCGTGTTGATTGGCAGACGGCGCTCCTCCATCGGCGATGGCACTTACGCGCTGCCGGGAGGTCATCTCGATTTTGGTAATTCTGCTTTTCTCGTCGTGTACCCACCTCGTTGCCTTTTCTGTGGTTTGTGGGTTCGGTGTTGGGTGATGGTTTGACGCATTGGCAACTTTTGATAGTTTTGTCTTGGAGATTGTGTTCATCTTTCGGAAGAATCTGTGGGAAGTGTTTCTATTTTTGTGCTTTTGGGATTCTTGGAGTGGCACTCTTTGCAGCTGGGAATGTGCTCGAAGGTTGTCGTTGTGCGGAGAGGAGGTCGCTGGCGGAATCGGACCTGCAGATTCTTGTGTCTGGGTCGTGAGCGGCTGTTGGAACTGTTGCCCTCTCTAGGCTGTGGTGTCTGTGATATGGTGGTGTGTGACTTTGAAAAAGAAGATTGTTGAGTCTACTTTTCAAGTGGCAGTCTATGGTGTTTGTCATTGTAGTTTATCATTAAAATTTATCCTCTTGGTTCGTATTTGGTCAATTGTAGGGCATTGTGTTAAGTTGATGAGTTGCTGTTCTGAAATTCTTTTTGAGGGTTCTCTTCTTTGGAAGTGTTCATATGCAGCTATGTTTGGCCTATCTTGTGCTTGACAGTTCGTTTTACTAGGCCTACTCTGCTATTGTTGTCAGCAATTGTTCTCCTGCAATAATGTTGAAATGATACTGTGTGTGGGTCTTATTGTCAACATAGGCACAACCCATAAATACTTTTTAGATTTACACATGTTTTGCTCACTCTTTTTTTGAAATGATGATGCACCCTTTACTGTAAGGCACTTCTTACGAACATCCTCATGCTATCATGAATTCGTTTCCTGAACCAATTTGACAAAACGCATTGAAGTCGTCCCGCTGGTTGTAATTGAAGCATCTATGGTTTCATTGAGAGCCTCTACTAAACGCGCTGATGAATGTGGCAGGGGAAACCTGGGAAGAGTGTGCCGCAAGGGAAGTAATGGAAGAAACGGGGCTGTCCATCGTCAATGTCAAGTTTGCGCATGTGGTGAACACAGTGATGCGGGATGAGAAAAGGCCGAGTCACTATATCACAATATTCATGCGTGGCGAGCTAAGTGATCCCAATGCTCTGCCAGAGAACCTAGAACCAGAAAAATGCGACGGGTGGGAATGGGTGGAGTGGCCCAACGTTCCACTGCCTGTGTTTCGTCCTTTACAATCTCTTGTCGAGAGCGGCTATAAACTTTCATAGCGGGAGGCATTTGATTAAGCTAGTGCTTTTCTTGCTTGATTTTGTTTTTCCCATATAGAAATCTCATCCCGCTATTTGGTATGTTGCATTAGTTTTTTTGATAGCACCAGTTACCGTTGCTCACTGAATTGGTCTCTATTATGGACGCACATTAAACGACCGGCAATTCTAAAGTTGAACTGTGTTTTGAGATATCAAGCAATCAATGACTCGCAGCTTTCGTTTGATTGAGTGATGTGAAGTGTTTTCTTTCTTGTTTGTAGTCCATGAGCGGGTAGGAAAACTCTGCTGGTTTTGAGAATTTTGTCAATTCTGCCTATGTAGAGCAGCAAATCTGTCAAAATTACGCCCTTCGCAACCTCCAGACATCCCTCTAGTGGTAGTAAATTCCGTACTGGCGAGACTCATAACATACGCGACCACCTTGCAAGTAAGGTGTTGGCTAGAGTTTTCAGCAATCATGTTTGCCATTTGCCATAATCCGATTTTGATCAGTTTTTGTTTGTTAATAAATTTGAAACGTAGTAGACCAAATCATCTATTCGTTCAGGAGAAATACTACCATTCATGGTGTGACTTACGTTTAGTGCCTCCATCAGCATCCCCAGCCACAAGGTATTTCTGAACGTCTCTTAGAAATGTAGTGTAATGTAATCTCTTAGAAATGTAGTGTAATACTTAGGTGTGCCAGAATAGGACACTTCTGATAGGTATTTTTCAACTAGTTTCAACTCAGTGATACAATCTGTGCAGCTGCTTTTAACACGTAAAGGAGAGGTGCCAAGCACAGAGGGAAAGTGTGAATCTTCTCCTACAAATCCCACCTCAGGTCTCAGACCAATCTCCAGTGCCTCTCTGCACACCTCTTGGAATCTATTCGCATCTCTTTCGGCATCACAACTGTTTTCGAAGTCAGGAAAAACATAGTGTCCAGCTCCGTAATCTCTTTAAAACTCGGATTATCTTGCGACCCCCTAATCTCATTAATCACCTTGAGATGCGTAGAGTTTGAGAGATCTGGCAATGCTTTCAAGCTCAAGCCCTTCCAAATGAGTCCAGGACCCAGTTTTGATTAACCTGATCATGTTTTCCGATCTGAAATTAGGGACCCAATTGTGGTGAGAACCTTGTGAAGGCTGCTGATATTGCAAGCTGATGAATTCGCAAATGTGGGACGATTCTCGGATCAGGAATTCCAGCAACTGAAAGATAATTCCAAATTCAAAGTTATGTAAAAATCCCATCACAGCCCAGATCCTACAACTAGTATAGATCCACTCAAAGGGATAGGCTTTCCAAAGGAACAACATGAAAGAATTGTGGGATGACTTTATATGAAGAAAGTTCACAGGGAATATTTGTGGAATAATGTGCGTAATGTTATCAGATTTGAAAGAATCTAATAACAAGAAAAGGGGACTTTTTGTGTGAAAATTCTCTGGAGAATAATTTTTGTTTTGTAATGAGAGGAGAATTTCAACTCCCAGAGGAATTTTCTATAGATATTGTTTAACAAGGTTGTAAGTATTCAAGTTGAGCAATTAAGGGAAAATTTCATTTGCACCCCTCCAATATGTGGTAATATCAAGAATATCCCTGCATTCTTGTTTATTACATTTTTCTCATAATTTCAATTATACCCCTGGACTTGATAGCGTATTTGATTAATCTTGTTTTAGCTCATTTTTGGGCCCAAACTGCGTGCCATGCACATTTCGGCGGGCCCCTGTGAATTAGACCCTGTCGCTGCCACTGTCAATCCCGCTGCTGGTGCTGATCCTGTGATGGCTGGTCGATGTGGAAAACAAAAATATGAACCAATGCATTTTTTGGGCAAAAGCTTGGTACTTGTTGATGGCGCCATCAGTAACACTCCTGCGGGCAAATTTCATGGACTCTTCATTGTGCACTGCTTTGATCTTTGACACTTCATCCATATCATCTTCTTCCATTGCTTCCGGGATCTTAGTTCGTTTTTTTTCGAATTCCATATCCTGCACACATGCATTCGAAATCCAATTCCATTGATCATCTAAAATTTATTTTAGGAATTGAGGTGGTGTGAAATTGCTAATATCTCAACAACAAATCTACTAACAAGACGTGCAAATCTAATTGAAATAGCAAAGCTCCAAAGTTGTCTATGTACATATTTTTTCAATATTTTCACAAATTGCTTATTTACAAGCCCTTTGATAGATTTTGGTGATATCAACACCACTAAGGTCCATAGTGTGGCAACCAAGTGCCTCTAGATTGATTTCTTTAGCACAATCTGTACAAACATGCTTGGAAGATATGTAACATAGAAGCTTCATCGAAGCTTCATCGAAGCTTCATTGGGAAGTGGGATGTAGATCAGTTGATCCAATCTTCTCGGTCGCAATAGGGCAAAGTCAATAATATCATGTTAATTTGTAGCACCTATAATGAAGATTGTTTTCTTTGCATTTATGATGCCTATCTCTATGAGCAAATGGTTGAATACACGATTTGTTAAACCACCTGTGTCACTGCCGCTGCCTTCTCTTTGAGTAGGAGAGTTCATTCTTGGGCCTAGTCAAAGATTTCTCGTACATTGGTCTCGCTCTCTCCAAACCACATAGTCAAAAGCTCACGACCTTTAACATTGATGAAATTAGCTTAACACTTATTAGCAATAGCCTTTACAAGTATTATCTTACCACATCTAGGTGGTCCATAAAAGAGAACTGTCTTGGAGGACAACATACAAAGAGATCAAAAGTAGTAGCGGTGGGGCAATGGCAAGGTTTGGTTTGTGGTATGCAGTTTGGACCCCAAAATGAGCTAAAATAAGATTAATTTAATATACTATCAAGTCCAAGGATACAATTAAAATTATGAGAAAAATCAAGGATACATGAGTAATTATCGAGAATATTGGGATATTCTTAATATTACCACATATTGAAGGGATACAAATGAAACTTTTTCCACCAACAATTGCAATTAATTTAAAAAAACAAAAGCAATGTTTGCATGTAATTTTAGGGGTTCAAAAGTGGATCTGTAAAGAATCTTTTTTTATTCTTGTTTTGAATCTTCAACTTTAATTTTGTGGTTGTTGGTGGGATATCCATTCATTGAAGAAGAAAAAATGATTACATGTGATTTTGAATTTTTTTGGTCTATTGGCTTATTGTTTTTTTTAATGCCTATTATTTTAATATGCTTTAAAAATTGTAATGCTATTATTTTAAAGATTGTTTTTACTAAAAAATATTTTATTTTATTTATTTAAAGATTAATACAATTTGATGATTTTTTTAGCATTATTAGTGACAATTAGACATTTAAAAGAATGAATAGTATTATTGGCAAAATTATGATTTTTGTATTGATATTTTTCTTTTGTAGTTTTATAATATGTTTAAAATATTTTTTAACTCTTCTAAAAATAATTATTTAGAAATAATTTTTAATTTTTAATTTTATTAATTTAATTTCAATTTGGTTATTTTTATATTAGATATCTTGATTATCATCTATAAAAAATATTGTAATTTTTAAAAATTATTTTTATTCTATTTTATACATTAGTAGCATGTTTTATTCAAAACTTTATAAAAAAAATTAGAAATTAGAAATAATATTTAAATATAAGTTATTTTCTAATCTCACATACCATAAAAACTTCATTGTGCTTATGGTTTTATAGAGTTAGTTACAATTTTTGTCATATTTTGAAATTCAATGGTTATTAGTATAAAATGTACAAAGAATAATAGTTGAAAAATTAATATCTTCAAGCACTTAAAATTTCAAATATGATTTATCTTGATATGTTATTATTAGCCTCTTCTAATGTTTGATTATAAATTTTATTAAGAAGAATAATATAATTTAAGAACAATGAGATTTAAATATTTATTAAGAATAATTATTAATAATTTAAATATAATATAATATAATTCGATGCTTAATATAAAAACCACCAATTCTATTAACTAATTTATAAACTCTAACCAATAATTAATGCAAGTTTATCTTCTTGTCAATATATTTTATCACCTTTAATTCCTACGAAATTATCTTTTATGTGCTTTGTTTTTATGTGTTTTTATTTATCTATTGATTGCAATGCTTGATACTTATTTCTTAACATTGTTGATATTTTCTTCTATGTTTTAAAAATCTAATTACAATCTACTATTATTTTAAAAGCTTTAAGAAGCTTCAATATTAAATTGTGCTAATTATTGTTAAGTTGTTTGAACTTTGTATTTAACCTTACATACTCTTTTTTATCTTGATTAATTAATTATATTTAAAATCTCACTAAAAAATCTATAATTAAAACTAGTATTATATTAGTATCTATTAAAATACATACACACATAATTAATAATATATAAATTATATATATATATTTAATAAATAATATAATATATTATAATATCATATAACCATTAATAAATTATAATAATAAAAATTTAATCAAATGATTTTTTTAATGTGAATTATTTGAGTAAAATAAAAATAAAAATAAATTATATTTGTATAAGTGTATAGATCATTTTAAAAATATTTTTAGAATCAAAATATCAGATTTAATTATATGTATGTATCAACATATATATATTTTTTGATAGTCCAAAAATTTAATTTTAAAATAATTTTTAGAAGCATTAGAACAAAAAAGTATTTACATATATGCATTCATAGTTCTTGTTTGAAGTGAAGCAATTAATGTGATATACCTATTCTATTCCTATAATTAAAATAAGAGGGTTTCAAACCAAAAAGCTAGTTTTGTAAGGTAATAGTATACAAGCCTTGTATAGGTCTTTGTATAGGTCCTTGGCTTGGTGGATAAATTTTGTCTTTTAGAAGTTTCTTCTTTAGAAATGATACATAGTAATAAGAGTCCATGATATAGATTAAAATGTTTTTTAATTACAATTTTAAATCTTAGCCACTTATATCTTACTTCTAATATTTATAAAAATAATTTTAAATATTTAAGAAAAAAGTATAATCAATACTTTCAACAATCCTTGACATTTGACAAGACCATCTCTTGACATGGCCTAATACAAACTTCACATGACAATCCTATCCATCCAATATAAAGTTAAAATAAATAAAACTACAACTTTATTTTCTTTCATGTCTTCTAGACTAACTTTCTTAAGCATACTGCGAACCAAATAAGATCTCTATCTACTATTTCTACTTCTATTTCTATTTGCCTAAACCTAAACACCCCTTTTCACACTCACTATCCATCAATCTGAGTGTAATGACTCCTTTACGGTGGTGTTTTTCGTGTAATGCCTATATATATATATATATATAAACAATCACATACATCGATGAATTGGAAATCCAGTGCATCTATCTGCTGTTGAGTTTGCAGCAGCTCACCGAGATCCATTGCAAGTCTTGATGGGCACTTTGCCGACGTCTTCCCTCTGTCGGTGCCATGGAATTGAGCAAGGTATGGATCAGAATTTCTTACAACGATCCCAAATACCCAGACTCTACTGGGTTTTGTCGGTCTTGCAGAATAGCGGCACAACAAGGACGACCGAACCCGTGTCAGATTCAAAGAATATCTGGACAAATTCTTCCGCAAATCAACCAACCAAGGCTCGCCCATCATGTTCAATCCAACGCGTCATTAACAGCTTTGGAGCTCCACTTCTGGTGAACCGCCTAAATATAGTCACGTCAGACAAAGACGTTGTATACAAAAGTGCGCACGAGATCACCGCAAAAGCTCCACTGGATAGATCTAGATAGGGTTTGCCACGAATTCTCGGTTTCCGTTTACCCAATGCATGATCTGATATAATTGTAGGCCTCCACGTCGCTGATACGTTCTGAATCCCCAACTGCTGCCGACGTGCTTATCACCGAATCTACAGTTGCAAGTGAGTACGAGGACTAGACGCAGCGGTATTCACGAGCCACCTTGGAAATCATGACAGACTGAATTTATAAGTTGAGCACCTTTCCTTACAGGAAAATTCAGATAGAGAAGTGGAATATACAACGTGTTCAGAAGTACACCAAAATATCCGTAACATTCAGTCATCTGTTGCCTCCGCTTCGTTACTGCGATTTTGACTGAATGGTGATAAACATTGTCTTCTATTATTATCTAATAGCTAATGCTACATACAGTGGAGGTAAATGCTCCTTGCTTTACCGGAAGGTCAGATCCGACTTTACAATAATCGAAAAACAGAATCTTGTCAAAAAGAAAAAGAAAATTCTGTCTATGCTGTAGGAGTTGATTCGAGCAGAGACGACAAAGAGCCATTGGCGTTAGCTTCTGCTTCGGGGACTTCAGCTATAGCAGCGTCAGCTTCTGCTTCGGGGGCTTCAGCTTTAGCAGCGTCAGCTTCTGCTTTCAGCCTCTCCTGCTCTTGCAAGTGTCGCGGGTATCGATTGAAGAGCTTCAAGCATAGTTGAAGCTGTCGCTTCTCCGTCTCCAGCTCATTGAAGATGCCGGGCTCGCCGATCCGCCACCCCCAGTTGCCAGCTTGCGTTGCTGGGGTATTCATTCTAGCTGAGTCATCTAACCCTAGCACGTCCTGCATTGGGATAATGGTGGTGAGCGCCACGGAAGAGAGCGCACATTTGATGAACTCCCAATGGATGTTTTCGTCACTCTTTAAACCCATATACTGCAGCACATGCTCCCGCTCGGATGTCGTCGCCTTCTTCCACCATCCCACCACAGTGTCGTTGTCATGAGTACCCGAGTAAACAACCTGATCAACTTCGTGATTGTGAGGCAAATGCGGGTTCATGGAGTCACTACCGAATGCAAACTGAAGAACTGCCATCCCTGGCGCATTGATATTCTTGCGAAGCGAGACGACGTCGCTTGTGATAACACCGAGATCTTCCGCGATAATGTCCACCTTCCCCACGGCGGCGCGGATGGCGGAAAAGAACTCTTCGCCTGGACCTTTCTGCCACTTACCGTGCATGGCAGTGTCCTCGGCTGCGTCGATAGCCCAGTAGCCGGCAAGCCCTCTAAAGTGGTCGATCCGGAACTCGTCGTAAAGCTCGAATGCACGCCGCATTCTGTTTGCCCACCACGAGTAGCCATCTTCCGCCATCGCCTTCCAGTCATAGAGGGGGCTCCCCCACAACTGTCCAGTCTCGGAGAAAGCGTCGGGGGGGACCCCAGACACCATAGCTGGAGCGCCAGTCGAGGGATCCAGTTCAAACATCTCCCTGTTTGCCCACACATCCCCTGAATGCCCCCCGACGTAAATAGGCATGTCACCAACAATTCGAATCCCCAACGCGTTTGCGTGTTTATGCACTGCTTGCCATTGCCGCTGGAACAAGAACTGCTCAGCAACAAACTGCGTAATGAAGCCATGATGCTCCTTTCTGAAAGCTTCTAGTGCCTCTGCGTTCCTGTCTCGCAAGTCCTCCGGCCAGTCCCACCAGTGCTTTGCATCAATGACGTTGTCAATGGCAGCGAAAAGCGCCGCTTCCTCGAGCCAGGAGGAGATCCTAAGATCCGTCCTAAACCTGTCAAGCTCTTCCCGCATAGCACCTCTACTGCTGACGAGATTCCTCGCGGCCTTGGCAATGAGGGGGTCTTTAATCCTGGCAACCGCGTCAAAGTCCACTTTACCAAGCGGAACAGGTGACGGAAGGTCGATCTCTTCCAGCAACCCGTCCTTCACTAGCTCCTCAAGAGAAATCAGCAATGTGTTACCGCAATTCGCGTCCACTCCTGCGTATGGGGAGCCATCTTCACCCCCTTTCCTACCTGGGGGAACAAGAGGCAGGACCTGCCACAGCGTGCAACCCGTCGACGCCAACCAGTCCAAAAATGCAAACGTTTCCTCTCCGAGCTCTCCAATCCCATTTGGTCCAGGCAACGACGACGGGTGCAGCAACACCCCACATCTCCTCTCAGGCTTCATTCTGTTCGGGTCATCGTCAGCGTAGTTTGCAGGCAAGTCATCGCCAACCTTCAGGTCATATGTCCCCGATCCAAGCTTATTGGTATCCGTTTCCTTCGGAGAAAGATCCAATCTCTCAGGACTAAGAACTGCCGCGGGACTCGCAGTGAAATATCGGGGGTAGTCTCTCTTCACCCTCTCAACCCACACCCTGGAGGTGCTCCCAAGAGCATGATTGTGCTTATTAGGGAGCAACGACCGTTCTCCCCATCGCCATGTGGAACTTTTCAACGATGGTGTCCCGACTGCGTACACTCGAGAAGCACAAACAACGGAAGTAGTCATGGCCGTAGACTGAGGCAGTCGATTCTCACGGCTGACACCTCCTGCTCATAGTCCTAAACAACCAATTAAACGAAAGTCAGGTCACAAATTCAGAACTAGACTTCCAAACTCACAGGTCGGACCTCCCTAAACACCATTGCTTGGTCTCCGACTAACAATCCGCTTCACGGCAATGTACTCCTACCAGCATCTCTCATTCACACCCAACTTTCGAAAACACGCGCATACAGATCATGCTACACTCCTTCGACACAAGGAAGAAAACAAACACAAACTCTAATCCAACGTCCGATGCCTAGCGCAATATGCCACACTGTCAAACCTACCCTCTCTACGGAACACCAGCCTATGTCACCACACCGTCACCATTCAAATCCAATTGACAACGTGTAAGAAACAACAAACTCTAGATCTACTCACATTACACATCTTCCGATTAGATTCTATCTCGTAAACTGCCACTAACCTGCAACCACCGCTGTTCCTCAACAAACGCACAAACGTCTGCCGTGACGGCAAACTGCAATGCACTTGAGATTCCTGCTAACGTAGCCAAGGCCACACGTGGTTTCCGCCGCAGCTCGGTGGCGACGATCGAGCAGAAAATGACTCCGCGTCTACCCGCTACACCTCAACTCGGTGACAAGGATCCCCTCCCTCGCTGCCTTCCTCCACTGCTAAATAGGAAAGCAGCGTGGAGAGAGGAGGGTGCGAAAGCAAGAGTGGTGTGGGAGTGATGGATAGAGAAGCGTGAAGCATGTGCAACTAACTAGGATAGGCTGCGAAGAAGGGAAGGAAGGGAGGGCGAGCGGGTGGAAACATTGATGCCCGTGACTGACGAACTGATTGTGTTGGCGTACACGACGCTTGGTCCCCCATCATTCACCACGCGCGATATTTCCCCCTCCCCCTCCACTTTTCGCTTTCATCCGTTTCCCTCCCCCCGCCACTTTTCGCGACTTTGACTTTCCCATCTTTACTTCTTTAAAACTTGTTACTTTTACTTTTACTTTTAGGGTTTGGAAGTTATGGGGAGCAAGGACGAAGTTGATGTGGATTCTTCCTTCCCATGTACATTAATTCCAAGGACATTTCAAAATGAGTACATTGTTATTTGTTTGGAAACGTGGTGTTGTGTGAATGGCATAATTTTCCCAAGTGCAAATTCCTTTACATGAATATATATGATGATGGTGAGTGAAGTTGACGTTCATTGGCGTATTTTAGTAGAATGTCAATGGAAAAAAGTGAATGTGTGTATTGTGAATTGACAACAACAACCCATGAGCACATGTGTGGGTATGTGATTGTGAGGTCATAATCACCTTGTTGTGAACTAGAACTAGAGCACATTGTCGGTGACTTTTTAACTTGGGTATGCCTAAAGTTACTCATTGAAAGGTTTAGAAGACAATTCTGTAACAATATGGGGTTTCAAATATGGCACTTTTGCAAAACCAAATGATTGGAATTCAACCTCTGATATTCCCAGGATCACTCCAAATCACCATTCAAACTTGATTAACTCCTGATATTACTCCCTAACTCAAACTTTATTACTTCCTAATATTACCCCTGGGTTCAAAATTTATTATCCCTTGATATTACCTCCTTGGTAAGAAGTCAAAGAGGCTAGAGAGTTAAGGCAAGTGACTTGGTTTTTGATATTTGAGTCGCCTCTCTTTTTATATTTCAATTTCAAAATCACCCAAGTCAATTTGGTGAACTATCAAGTGATATTTTGAAATATCATGAGATACTTCAAGTTTGCATCACGAGTAAAATATCACCCAAAAAGGCCATGTTTGAAACCCCCTAATAAAGGTGGACATTGTATTTAAATCAAAATTAGGTGTGTTTGTTTGTTTGTTTTCTTTTTTGGTAATTTATTGATCATAAACCAATCCACCTTTGTTTGTTAATGTAATGGATATGACTGGTGCATTTATAACTAAGATTTGGTCTATTTGAACAAGTGTTTTCAAAAAAGTTGTGATGTTTGTTTTAGAAATCTTGAGCAATGCTGTACTGACACGGCAACATAAGCAAGTAGGATGATTGGTTGTTGTTCAATCAGAGGGACAAAAAACCAAAAATACTGTTTGGGTGGGCGTTAAATTTGTGTATGTGGAACTATTGTTGAGTAAATGCCATACAATGATTGCCAAAATTTGTTAGAAAGGCCATAATATAAATAAATATATAAATATATTTATTTTTTGTAAGTTTTTAATTTTTACTATAATGCCTTCTTCAAAAAAATCATTGATCTCATACAATTTTTCTTACTGGGTTTGTTTTAATTGCATGTCTGTGTTTATATATATTTAAAAATACTAGCCATCATTAAAATATTGTCTCATTGACAAATTTTATTACAACCAGCCTTCATGGTATCCTAAACGTATAAATTCCACAATAAATTTTCAAAATCAAATTCAGCAATCCAAATGTGAATCCAACTGACACAATGAATTTGATTTTGAAAATAAGATTGGAAATTAAATTAAATTATAAAATCGTATAAGATTGGAAATATGTTGAAGATAAGATTGGAACAAATGATTGATATATCTATTACTTTGTGGCAGAATGTTCAATAATTACTATAAAAACAAACTTTGAGTTAGTTTCTTTTGTTTTTGTAAGATTATTTAATTCTGATTTCAATTTTGTTGATACTCTTCCACTGTAGTTGACTGTTATTGATGTTATTATTTTAGAAAATAGATAGCATCTTTTGTGATTTAACTAAATGCACAAGCCATATAATTGGTACATTTATGTGTATGTGTGTAATTAATCAAATACATAAAATCTTGCATGGCTTTCTAAGGTCAAAAAACCAAATTCATGTTAGATTGCATGAAATCGATATATAGAAATTATGTGATTATACAATCAATGCATTACTTTAAATTTATTTGAATCTTTTTAATACAAAACCTAAATTTTTAAAGAAAAAAGTAAAAGATATTTATAGTTACATGTGTGCCAAATCCTTGTCACAACTTTGTGTGGAATTGTGTGAAAATTACAAAGAAATTGAGTGTCCACGTTTGAATATGCAAAGCAAAATATTAGACAAGTTTGCATTTTGATGAAGAAACATTGTCTATCTACCAAAAAAACCATCTTTGGTTGCTTTCTAGTAGCCCCACAAGCATATGTTGCTCACATTTGGCAGGTGACCTTGCTTTGTACAAGCAAGTATTAATTGATTTGCTTTCTTGTTTAGGCAAGTTCTCCTGACTCAAGTCCCATTAAAGTAAATGCCTTAGTGTCTTGGTTTGTGCACAGATAGTGGCGGTTGAGACCATAGTTGAAAAGATTATATTATAAGATACAGTTTGAAATGTAAATATATTATTTAAATTTAAAACGAACATATAGTAAAGATTTGTACCGAGAACAACATAACAATACGAGTAACATATAAATATAAATTATGAAATAAAAATCTCAAAAATTGAAACTTGCTTAATGCTATAATATTTTACCACCAAAAGTAGTCTAAAATTGAAGTAAAAAAATTAAGAATTATTATTATTAGTTTCACTATATTATAATACGTTGATAATATTAATTTTGGGATATTTTAATCCAAAAATTTGGTATGCTTGATTTCAATGCACAAATAATATTATAAATAACATACAAAACTTTGAAAAAATTATCTCTCTCTCTCTCTCTCTCTCTCTCTCTCTCTCTATATATATATAGATATATATGTACATATTTATTTATTTGAACTATTATTAAATTATCATTTTTATCTTGTTTTTATAAATGATATTTTATCCAAAACAGCTTTCGATTTTGTAACTATATAATAAAGGAACTTAATTATGTAAAGTATATATAGTATAAAAGTTTTACTTAGGTTTACTTTTATTATAAAATTTATATTCTAATATCAATTTCGAGCCTTTTATAAAAATATAAATGTGTATCTAATGAATGGCTATTATAAAATTAGAAAAAATAAAATATCATCAATTATAAAACTATAAATGATTATGAACTGTAGATGTATTTGGAAAATCATATAAAAAGCTAAAAAAAAGATATTTATAATTTACTTGATAATTATGAAGATATTATAATTATTGAAACAATGTGCAAATATCTATAAATGATAAATCCAGATTTTTTTTATAAAAATCAAAATACCAACCATCATGTATAGTTTGAATAAGTTGTAAAATCATCAAATGAAATTATTTTTTACACTAGAGTTGAATTGTGTACAAAATAAATATTTATTATACAAAATCAAATTAGAAGATAAAAAACATTCAATAGTTAAAAGGCTATGAATAGTGTAATTCATAATAAAATGATACTGACTAATTATAATATCATAGAACTTATTATTTTTGTTTTTCTTTATTGTGAGTTATAAATTTATATTCTTCTTTTGTAACCATAATTATTTAGATCGTTCCTTTTCATTTAAAATATTACTTGTAAATTAAAATAAAATAAAATCCAAAATTACTATTTTTTTCATTTCTATATACTTTTGGACTAGGAAGAGGATTTTGAAATAAAACTTTATATCCATAGCAATTAATTAATCTTGGGCAACCCCAAATTGGCAATTCAAAGAGGCATCTCCACTGTCAGGCGAGGATGAACAGAGGGACAATGGATGAGACATCCTGTTCCGCGCCTTGTTCTGTTCGTCCGATTCAAATCCTCTTAGCCAGTTTATGTAAACAAGGGCGGGGTCATGAATCTCGCCTCATTCTATTTGCTTGCTTGCTGGATGCCGCGCCAGCCCTCCGATGATCGTAGGATCCACTACGTCTTGTTGTTTTTGTCGTCCCTGATTGTCACCATGGCGAGGTCTGTGCATTTCGCCGCCTCAATTTGGCGCGTCCTGAACGACGAATGCTACGAGCTGCACAGCCACAAGTTCGAGGGATGCGTTGAAGTCACTTTGCAGGTTAAGATTTCACGACCAGAGAATTATTCCGTTCTCTGAGGGATGCAGCAGCGGAGGCAAGACGTTTTTGTTCATTCTCAAGGCCAATAACGAACTTCACGATATTTAAGAAGTGACTGAGCTGGTTTTTGCTGTGTGCTTGTTGTGAACCATCCTTCAATTGGTTCAACAATGACTTGTTCAGACTCACTCCCGAGTTCGTTGAGGCAAATACTGCGGTTGTGCATTGTCATCAATTGCAATTCCTATGGTTCCGTCGGTGCAGACACATGTGTCTCTTTGAAGTCATGCAATTCACTGTGGAGCTCGCAAATCGGCTATTGGATCTTCTTCCTGGTGTTTGTTTTGCGAATCCAGAATGATAATCCTCGGATATTGCGCAAGCATCAAGTCTTGTAGTTTTTGCGGGATATTCAATTTGTTGCACTCTTTAACTTGGATGTGGGAAACTTTCGAAATCGTTGAAGAATTTAGTGAGGAGCGTAATTCATTAACAATGCAGATGATCATACGCGTTGAATTTATAACGACAATGCAGTTTGCAGAGGAACTTGGTTAATGCATCCTTGAGCAACATCAATTTGGAACGTCGAAGTCCATGATTATTGTACACATTCCACTGATAAGTCTGCTAAAATTTCTGGGCCCTGAAACTCCAAAGTTTGACCATGGCTGACATTGTTAGAGTTCCATGGATTCTCATCAGCTTTTGTCGACGGCATTTTGGGCATTTCGATTGTATTCAATATGCATCTTCCTCACAGAATGTGAATTTTCACGCTGCGAAAATACATGGAGCAAGTAGAGGTGCTATTTTTGATGCACAAGTGGTGTAGCAATAATCTAATATGGTCTCATTCGAGTGGCAGTCAAGGAAGAACTCAAACTTTTATGGCTTGATAACCTCAGCCTTCGTTGATTTGAAAACCTCGTTCGTTTTTTTAGTAATTGTAAATGAATAAATAAACGAATACTATGATAGTTCGGTTATGCAATCTTGTTAACGACTACTGACAGATAGTGCTGATGTAAGTGGAATGACATGCCCTAAGCGATGTATTGGATAACGAAGTAGTTGAGCGGAAGACGTTAGAATTTCTTTAGTCCAGCTCCATTGATGTAGAAACTATGCTGGACTCTGTGCTAATGATATCAAGAAGCTGAGTCGCGGGCACTATTTGATCCCAAAATCGACTGATTTGTATTATCCATTAGTTTCCAATTCAAGGTGACCCTGCACTATTCGGATCAACTTCTGTTTATCGATATTAGTTCTAAACAAATACCGGAGGCTTTAATCTAGAATTTTGGTGAATTGTATTATTGCTATTTATGAACATTCGGACAGCGAAAACCTGAGTTGATTAGGCACTTTTGAAAGCAGTACGCCACATTTTGAACAGCGTCAAAAATATGCATTGGACAGGAGGAGCACTTTCAAAGGTGGTGTGCACTTTGCTACTGCTCGATAGTCAACCAGAACAGCAAGAATTGGCGTTCACCAAAACCATGAGCAGTGTGACCAATCACATAGTATGACTTGAACCAGATTTGCCTGTACAGATTTAGAAACTACTTTCCTTTGCTAAAGAAGAGCGTCTGTGCAGCACACACACCTCAGAAGAGGACCACACTGAAAGGACTAGCGCTTTTCTGACTCCCCTTTTCGATACATAGTTGTGTGTATCCTTCTGATGTTGAGCTGCTCGATGTTTACAGAAGCTCTTGAATACTCAATCGTATTACTTCTTCATCTCGCAGTTGCGGTGAAAATTCGCAAATTTCATAAAGATTTCGATTGTATATTTTAGGAGTTCGTTGTCACTTTTCGCACCTATATTTCAAAATCTAGGACAAACAGGTATGCCTTCCAAACACATGGAACAAATTGTTGAACTGGCTGTATTAAAGTTTCGAGGTCCGCATGGATATTGATGCCGGGGAGGGTTGTGCTTTCACTTCAGCTTATGGTTGCTTATTTACCAGTGTCCAACCCTTCTATGATTCCACAAAACAAAAATTAGAAGTAACCGTTTCATAGGTTGATCAAAAGTTTTGAGATGCTGTTCCTTTATCACTTCGTCATGTAATTGATTCCTTCACAGCTGCTAGACCTCAGTTTGTTGCCTACGTTACACCTTCATTAATATTTTTTGGTGCTTTGAATTCAAAAGTTAAAACAAACACATGAATTGTGAAAGAAAATAGTATACGTATAATCATATACGAATCTTTACAAATAAGAAACAAAGAAATGAAAAGAAAAAACAGAAAATAAAAAAAAGGAGCTACAACTTATGATTTATGTTAGTACATGTAGGAGTAGTTTTATTTTCGAAACAGAAAATGATGATACAAATCGATTTTTTTAATGATGATGAAAAATTATTACATATACTGTTTTTTTTTTTTTTTTTTTTTTTTTTTTCTAAATTTGATTAAATAATCTATAATTTTTATATGTTATTTTTAGATGCTCTATTGATAAGTCTTACAGAGGATTTTTCTAGTAAATTGTATAATAAACCATAAGGGTATTATATATTTAATAAATTTATTGTAACATCTATGAGCCATAAATGGTGTTTATTTTTAGGTATCTTTTAGATTTTTATATTCATATATACATATTTTTGTATCTTAGTACAACCATCGTTTATATATCCACACACTAATTTATATTTTGTATATATAAAAATAAAGATAGATTAGTAATGTATAGTAAGTTTAAGTATTGCATCAATAAGGATTGCAACAAAAGAAGTAGTTTTACTGATATAAAAACTTATTTATTTTTATAAAACTCAACAATAATACAAAATATCCTCGTGAAATTTTATAAATTTGTAAATATTTGTTAATTTTATAAATTTGTAAATTTTATAAATTGTGTAAATTTTTGTTATTCAAAATGATCTACCCACTATACTCATTGTTTATAGTAATTTATTTGGACATTTTATAAATAATCAAATTTGTATTTGTTGATATAATGTCATCACTTGGAAGATACATCTTTAAAGTTTATACTTGAGTAACTTTTTAACATGTATTTGACTTTCTTAACAACTAAATTCATTTGTTGGTTTCAAGTGACTTAATTCTAAAACTGAATAGATCTTTATAGATCATTTAATATTAATATTTATCAAATTAATTATAAAACATAAACATCCTAAAATAATATTGTGATATTTTGCCGCTACCCAACCACTTCTATTGGCACTTGATGTGATGAGATAGGTTTAAATAAATCAAAATGTCTTTTGTTAAAGATTAAACAGGGACCTCAAAATAAGTATTGATACCACAATGACATTTACTACATTCTCATTTAATTCAGCAGATCCATAATTATTAATCTTCATATTTGTTTTTATGTATTTTTCTTATCTTGCTTTAAGCTAGATATTTATAATATAGTATGTATATATTTTGATGAAGTCACTACTTTATATTGCATTATGCTTTACTTTCTTTTGTTTTCTTAGACATAGGCTGTATACGTTGGAAAAAAAATTTGAAAGTATTTATATATTTTCTATGAAATTAGACTATTTAAACTAAAGTTATAATTTAATAATACCAATGAATAAACTAAAAATATATTGTAAATTTTACTAAATAAATAAATAAAGATTTATATATATATATATATATATTTATACACAATAAACAATGGAAATATCACATTGTCAAAACAAAACAAAAAAAATTTTATATTCAGATTGGCAATGTTGATCACACCGAGGAAATAAATGTGCTGGTGAAGGTAGGTGTGAAGCTTCCAGAAACCCTAATTTTGGTGGGTCATGCAACGGGCAATCTTAACTGCCTTCCTTGCCTGATTCCACCCACTTATCCAGCCCCCACCCATGCTATGCAAGTCCTGTGGGCGGTGCAGCACCCTCAAAGGACGGCGACCATCGATCGGCGACCCCTCCCCTCCACGCTGCCTCTGAACAGGACCCCCACAATATCTGTTCGATGTTTCGACGTACCCAACTCCGTTTTTTTTATAACACTCGTTTCCACGGACACGATTGTGTGGGTCCACGTAACGCACAATGGATAACCTTTGTGCAATAGAAAAAACACCCACTTGGTCTTAAAAAATCGCACACACCTGACATCGTGATCTACGAGTGACGTCTTTGCTTTCCGAAGGATTGCTGCGATCCTGGTGAACCCATCAGAGGATGTTCACTTGGAGGAGCTATGCTGTTTGGTTGAAGGGAGCTGGAGGTGAGCTCGTGCAAGGCTATTATTCTATGCACTTGCTGAAAGATCTCGTCAGCCACACTGGGAGCACATTCTAGGTTCCGTAATCGAGAACAGAATCATTTGGAGATGGCATCCCGTGAGGGATTGGGGGTCTTGGCTACCAGTAATTTGCGCTGCAACTAGCTTGGGATAGGCCACAAATATCGTAGCTGTGTTCCTGCGGCGACGAGGGGCCCAGTTTGACAGACTGGACGTGACTGGTTTATTCCTCAAGAATCGTCCAGCCCCAACGTTTCCAATCTTGGCAACCTAGGGTGCTTCGCGAAGACAAAGTGAACGTTCCATGGCCTTTCCAAGTAAAGTCACTATTCTGGGAATGAAAACTTACCCGCGGAATATGATGATTTCCATCGTGTAGTCTGGAGATGAAGGCCCCTGCCCTCAAGTTCAGCAGCTACTTCAGTGAAGTCAACAATCTGAAATGAAGGTGAGGTCGTCCGGTTGCGGCGCTAAAACTCTGAAAATAATATGGATGTTCCACACCAAAATTTAAGGAATCTTCGTCACTCATTGTAGGTGCAACTTTTCAAGGCTGAACAGGGTTCGCAAGGTGGAAAGACTTTCCAGGTTTAGCTATGTATCCGATTTTTTTAACACTGCGAATCTGCTTAAACCTTTCTACAACAACATGGCATTTCGTAAATGTTGCAAGAGGGATGTCCCCCGACAGAAACATTCATCCGTTTACTCCCACTACACTCGTACAATTATGCAGCAATCATGACGTAAATGAAGAGAGCAGACACTACGCGACTTGAGAAAAACATGTGCTCCCCAAACAGAAAATCGATCCATGGTTCACAATATAAGAACTAGGTGGGACATCCGATCCTGTTCCGAGCCAACCCAGTTATGTGATGCATAAACGTGACAGACACCCTGTACACAAAACTTCACACATAGAACTTGGTGAGTGGCAATATCGTGGTACATATTTCGGAACAGCTGCGGTGGCCCAGCTACTTTGACGCATCGTCCCTGCGACTGTATGCAAGACCCATGGTACAGTATTTATGTACACCTAAAGTCTGAAAAGAAATTTCACTATATTCTTTCAGTCTCCTCAGAGCACCCTCCGCCTCCGAAGTCTCCACTCTTCCTACAACACATGAAATACTCTGCTGCCTGCTCACAAGGACATGAAGGAACTTAACGCCCACTCCTAAACCTAAAAAAAAACATACAAACACAAATACTTCTATATCCAATCACCAAACCAGCATCGAAGCTAGCAAACACTGGTAAAATGCCCAATGGAGACACTCATGTACTTCGACTTCACATGGGCTAGCATACCGAACACATCAGCACCGCCAGCCATCGCGTACACAGATCCAACTTGAATTCCAGAGACAAATGAAGACATCGCCAAACCATCTCGAATTGCGTGATTTTCCCCAGTCAGCTCAACCACCTGACGACACAAGAACACCCTTCAACACCAGCTCACCAAGCACAACTTGAGAGAAAAATAAAAAGACAAAGGAAAACCCTAAGCTACAATACAATGCAAAATGGCAAAACGTGCAGCAGCGAGTTTGCAGAACCTACTCTGTTGAGCTGCAGAACCGGAAGTAGTCTGTCCGTCAGCACCATGAGCAGCACCTTCAGATACGCCTGATCTCCACTCTTCTTGTCCAGTAGTCGAACCTCCGCCTTCCAATATTGCAGCATTGGCACTACCAGTGACGGCATCCCCAGCCGCTATCCGTCCCTCCGGACCTTCCACACCAGACTCCTCCATCCCAGTTTCTCTCACAGTCTCCGGTCCAGACGCACCATCGTCTTGAACCACTGAAGGTGCCTCCGACAGCGCTTCACTAATACTTGATGGGCCCGTATTACCCACTTCCGCAGCAATCAAAGCTGCTTCACCATCGCCTACCTCTCGCATTTCTACATCATCTACAACTGCCGAAGTGTTCCTCTCATCCTCGACCACCACTGAACCCTCGGGGACACCACCAACGATCGGGGTCGGCTCTGACAGACTTGTCCCGCATGCGTCCCTGTGCAACTCCACCGGTTCACTCCTTGCTCCCATTCCCATACCGCCCAACTCCGAAGCTTCTACAACCTCCTGCCCCTGCTCTCGTCCTACACTATGTTCTTGGTCTGATGTTCCCACTTCCCCCCGAAAAGACTCCAGATCCGACACCTCTACAAGACCACACTCGTTGACAGACATCGCGGTGTCCGTCAGCACCGCCGCTTCCAATATCTCCTGCAAATAGTCAGGCCTCCGATCGTCCACACCTACGCTCCCGCCCTCCATCCCCGCTCCATCGGCCTCCACCAACGCGTCGAATAACATGCTCGCGTCATCTGCAACAACTACGCCTTCAAACTCCAACGCTGCATCCATCACCTCCATCTTCGCACCTCCATCCATCCCCTCATCTTCCTGCACCTTCATCTGGTCGTGCTGCATGGAACTACCCAGTGCATCGGCATCGGCATCGGCATTAGCATTGCCCGGGGTTTCCAACCCTTCCATCTGCATCTGCTCTCCTTGCCCATCCCCACTGCCATTGCCGTCACCTTCCAACCCCATCTTCGCTTCATGTCGAGACGCCCTGCTATCAATGCGCCTCAAATCTTTGTGCGTTATCGACCGCAGTCGGGTCTGCTGGTGCCGGAACTGCTGATGCCCATGACGTTGGACTTGATGCGCATTTGCCTGGTGGTGGTGATGGTGATGGAGCTGCTGCTGCTGCTGACCATGTAAATTGTGGCTGTGACTCTGCCCATGCACCTGCACGCTCTCTGATCCACCTCCATCGCCGGTTCGAGATCGTGATCTCACTGCCTCCGCACTGCTGTTGCTCAGCCCGCTCGACGGAGCCTCTGGCTTCACCACAGCTCTCCGACGCATCGGAGTCATGCTTCGAGATATCCTCGGACTGCTATTTATCACTCTGTGCAGCTGCCGGGCTAGCTCTTCGTCGTCCACAGACCCCGCGCCAGCCCGTCTGCCGCCATACCCCTCGTCCCTCTCGTTCTTTACCTCTCCTTTATAGCTCCTATCACGACGAGATTCTGAATGCACGTTGATTTCCAGTCTCATTCCGCCACCTCCGCCTCCGCCCGATCTGTTTTGCGCATTCGCCACCTTCCTTCGCAGCTCCACTCGGCACGCAGCCTCGGCCCGGCACGCATGTGCAGCAGTCTCCAGTGCTGCCTTCGCAGCAGCCGCTGCTTTCACCGCAGCGTTCGCCTTCGCAGCTGCATTCGCTTTCGCTGCTGCCGCCACTTTCGCCGCTGTTGCTGCGGCGTTCCGAGCCGCGGCGGCTACTTCTTGCGGCGATGCTCCCTCCATTTGCACCTGCCCCAGCGACATCTTTCGAGAATATCCCAAGCTCCTGCTCCTTGCATCCCCCGCCACGCCCGTTGCATCCAGCATATACCTCTGCCTCTCAAATCTTGAACCATCCGCGTGCCTCATCATTCGAGGCTTCTTCAGGGCTGGACTCAAACAATCTAACCCCACCCTCACTCCTGTCCTCACCTCCCCAAACTTTTCCGACCTTCCAGAACTCGGCTTGCTCCTCATCCCTGTCACCCCATTCGACTCCCTGTGCCGTCGACTCGAGTTTACGCAATCCATGCACACGTACAACGCCGCGTCCGGCATCGTCCCGCTCGCTTTCTGCTCGCACTCCGGGTGCACCGACCGCCTGCATCGACTGCATACCAGCCACATCGACGGGTCTCCTAGCAAACTCGCATCGTGGTACATCGCAAGGCAATGCGGACAGAACATGCTCTTCGAATACAACACGTCACAAGCGCTGCAAAGCCGCAGCGAAACCCCGCCCCGCTTAATTCTCCGCATTCCATCGCCCTCCACCACATTGCAACCCATGCAACTCCCGACCTCGTGCTTGCGTGCGACCAATCCCTGTCCCGCACTCACTGCCTCGGTCTCTAACCCAGCATGCTCACCACCCTGAGTCGGAAACACCGCGGGCGGAGGTGAAGTAGACAACCAGCCGTTCTGCTTCAACCCTGCTAGCAATCGCTTCCGAGGAGGAAGCGACCCTCCTTCTATCAACGCCCGAGAGGCTGCAAGTCCGGCCATGTCCCCGGAGTCCATAGAGCTCGTTGCTGTTGGTCCTGCATCGGTGTCACCCATGTCGCTGCCCTTCCCCGTTGTACCACAACCGACGACTCTCCACTCTCTCCAATCTTCTTGCAAACCCTATGCACGTCACTCGCCCTAGCGCGGAGAAACAATGTCCCCCCAGAGTGAACATCACATTGCAATATCGATGAGAAGAATAGCGCGTCCCTCGCTTAAACTTCCCTCGCTCCACCTTCGCGATACTGCTCCCCACCCTCGCAACAACCTCCCTCAGACTAAATCTTGCCCAGCATCTCCTGCCCCTACCTGACCTTCACAACTCCATACTTCGAATCAAATTTCCCGCACACGCTCACTCGTAACCCTAAAAGAATTTCTCCGTTGTTACTGCTAGCCACTCGCAGCACTCTCCGTGATCTCCCCTGCTTGCGAAGCTCTTGTCCTCACCCTAAAGCCCTGCCCTCACCAGCAACCCCAACAGCTTCACCAATCCCGAAATCGTCGCAGCACAACAACAACGAAAAAAACACAGAAAACTAAGCCTAGCCAGTATCACAACCTCACCACCAAGCGCACACGATGAAAACCAACTTCTCCAACCTCGATCCCTTTCTCTCCCTACACTACAACCCTGCTACCCCATCCCCACCAAACCCTAACAATGCATCATCGCAGTACTCACTCCCCGAGATTCCAATATTCCAGCCCAAAAGCGTTACATGTTGCCAGAACGGTGATCACAAGAACCAGCCACGGCGTGTCCTCCACAGAAACACAATGCAGCAACAGCACAGAGCGAAACAAAATAAAAAATAAAAAATAAAAACCCTACGAGCACCACAGGCACCAATTCAAGAGGAAAGCACCGAAACACGGAACCGACGTCGACGACAGCACTCGTCTTGGGTATAGTTACTGTTGTTGGTGGTGTGTATTCCCGAACTTGTGTGGCACACCACCACTGAGCTCACTTCACGCTGCTGTTAAGAAATTCCACCCCAATGGCGCTCGCTCGCTCGGGTCAGCAGCGATTGACCGACTCGAAGCAGGAGGAGGAGGAGCAATATCCTGCGCCTGCAAAGGCGCGGAATTCTTGATCGGACTCGTCGGAAGCAGCGAGTCCCACGGAGCTCCACAACCGGACGTGGACCCCACCACCCCTTGTTGATCCGACGTGGCGGCCACGTCGTCTCAGTGGGATGCTGATGCCCTATCCGTGATGCTGCTGATGCCCTATCCTCCTCCCCTCGCGGCGCTTTTCTTGGGATATACTGTTGCGTGCTCAGATGTCCGTGTGAACAGAGTTCCGCTGGTTCTCGTTCTCCCTTGGTACCTGGGGCCACAATTGTGCGGAATAATTCAGCCGTTGAATTGAATTTCTCTGTCATGTGTTTTTAATTCTCCAAAATTCATAATTAAAATTTTTTTGCTTTTCTGTATTTTTTGTGATTTTTAAATCCTGGGTTAATATTTTTATATCATGTGGGTAACTGTTTTAGTGTTAATTTAATCCAAGAACAATTACTGGTTGTGGAATACATTAGCTACCATGCGGCCATTTATTTTATCATATTTGAATTGATAATTATTACTTTATCATTTTTTATTTTAATATTTTAATTTTATTTTTTAAAGTGAATAATAAGTACAACTTACTTTGGCATAATGCTTTTTTAAGTATATATTTCAATATTTAGTATAATTATAATTTATGATTTTAAATCTATTCCATATAATTTAATAATATAAAAATATGTTTTTTAAATATATGTATATATATATATATATATATATATATGAATGTTAAATAGACTTTTACTAAATTTATCTTCTTGTTTCCAGCCCCTCGTTCCTTGTCCTGACGTCCCAGTCCCTGTTCTCAATGCATGTCCTCCATCCACTGGCTTCTTACAAGGCAGCCTAGTCATTCGAGCCTTAAAGTCCAGCTCATGGGACCCCACAAGACTAGAGTTTGCTTCTGAAATCTTAAAGGTCCGCTCGACGTGGGATAACTTGTGCTTCTTCATGTTTCTCAATAGATCAATTTTTGTGAGTTCCAAAGTGAGTCCAAGGAATTTTCGACGGATCTAACACTTAATGCGCAACAACAAAATGCAAAGATTAGTTTCAATGACCACCAATCAGTTCCAAAATATTTGTACTCAAAATGAAGAAAAGAGGCTCTAAAACACTCTTGAAACAATAAACATCCAACCATCTAGTTTTGGGTAAGCTCGCATCACATATGATCATTATACCAAAGTTTGTAATAATACTTGTTTTTTTGCAAATTCTTGCTATAATGGTGCCAACAAAGATGATGATAATTTCCATATTTAGTCTTTTTGAGTGACACAAAAGTATATTAAGCTTTTAGTTCTTTGAGATTCATGTCTTTGATAGTTTGACAAGACTACTAATTCATTGTTCTTGTTTTGTTTTTAGAAGTGAGTGGATTATCCCACTTCTATTGTTGTATTTTGAAGGTTGCAAATTATTCATCTTTAAACTAAGATTTAATTTTCTAAGACTAATTTTTTTTAAAGAGAGAAATTTTCATTAGGTGTTATAAGTTGTAGATTATCCTCCTCTAATTTATCATGTACATTTTTTTGAATTTTCTAAAGAGGAAAAAAATATAGATATTATTCTTGTTGGAAGTGAAAATAGATTTGCAAAAATTATAGATATTCACAAGCTTATCAACACTTTTAAAATAGAAATTTCATGTATTTCCAATGTGAATCATGGAGATATTATTTTTGTGCCTATGAAAGAAGTCAACAATAAAGTTGAAAGACTATGCCAAAAAATTGTGAAATTAGAAAAACTAAGTAGATTAAGTTTATAATCAAATCCAAGAAGCCTTACTACTACAAGTATAAGGGAAGCAGGATATGAATGCTAGAGAAGTTTGATGGAACAAGATCAAAGTTTCAACGGTTTTTATAACAAGTGAAGCTTTATCTAAAGTTGCATCTTTTTCCAATATCTTGATGGATTTACTCAAATTAGATTCATAGATGGGCTTCTATTTAGGAGTGCTCTTTCTTGGTTTGCACCTTTGATGGTAAAAGAATCACAACTATTTTATGATTTTAATTTATTTTTAAAAGTGTTTATGGCCATATCTAGAAAAAATGATCAAAAAAATTTAGTAGAGATAAAATTTATATCTTTACAAGAAAAATCACGTTCAACCTCCATACATAGTATTGAATTCCAAAATCTTATCTATGATATGGATTAGAATGACAAAGCCATTATAAATCAATCTTGATATGAGTTAAAAGTTAATATGAAGGATTTATTGCTGATAATACTAAGAGAAAATTCATTAGAATGATTTATTGTTCAAGCCATGGCATATGACAATTGATTCTTTAAAAGATGCTAAAAACAAAGATTTGGTTGAAGATGTATAAGTCAAGTCACAGTGATCTCTTTTAAGTTTTTCAAAGCTTACTCATCTAGGCCAAAGTCTATATAAATTGATATAATATATTTTAAATATCTTACTAAGTAAGAAAAGACTCCTAATTGTCAAGAAGATTTATGCTTATATTATGGAGAATTCAAGTACACTACTCAATATTGTGTAAAGAAGCAATATAGTTACAAAATGAGAATCATGGTTGCCAAAGATGATAATGTGTTAAAAAAATAATTTTTTTAACTACAATAGGAACCATGCAGCTAGAATCTTCTACAATATGTAATAAAGATTGTATTTTTTCTTTAAATCCCTCATATTATTTTATAATAGATTTTTTTTTAGAATCAAAAAAATCAAAAAAATATTTATCTTATTAGATTCAAGAACCTTAACCTATTTTATAAAAGAAGATTTTATCAAAAAATAAAAATAAATTTAGTCAAGAAAATCAAATCTATGCATGTTGAAATTGTAAATGGTCATTTATTATTTTTTGGAGACATTATCTATGAAACAATTTTTTTAGATGTAACAACTAAAGTTCTTAATAAATAAGTAATATTTAATGTCATTAGATTTCCCTCCAACTCAGTTATTATAAGATTATTGTTATTAAAAAATAATCCTTAAATTGATTAGATTTCTCACAACCTTAATTTTTTCTATAATTTTGCATAAGTTTTTGCTAGTTAAATAGAAATTTATAAGCCCAATACAACCAAATTCTTATTGGTAGATGCAAGAACTTTCATGCATGTTACAAAAAAAGAATCAACTTTTGCTATATATGCCACATCTATTTTTGATAGAGATAAGACTTCAAGTAGCATTCTAAACCAATATAAAGATTGTTAAGATGTTTTTGAAAAAAAAAATGTTATTATTCTTCCAAAGCATTGTCTCTATGACTATTCCATTGATTTATAAGAAGGACCTCAATTAATATTTGGACCATTCTATAGCTTATTGCAAAATAAGTTGATTGCACTCCTGTAATATATTAACAAGAACTTGGCTAAAAACTTTGTATGTTATTCTTAATTTCTAACAATAACTCTTATCTTATTTATGTAGAAAAAAATGAATATTTGCAGATGCATATGGACTATCAAGGATTCAATAAGATTACTATAAAAAATAGGTATCTTTTAACTTTAATTTTAAGATTTTTTAATTAATTTAATAAAGTAAAAATCTATATAAAAATAGATTTATGAAAAATACATAATTTAATATATATCATAAAAGAGATGAATAAAAAATTATGTTTTAAATTAGATATAGATATTTTGAATATAATGTCATATCTTTTGGAGTTACAAATGCACTAACTGCTTTTTAGCATCTAATAAATGATATCTTTTGTAAGTTTTTTGATGATTTTATTATTTTTTATTTAGAAAATATTTTAATCTATTCTAAGAATATAAAAAAGTATAAACTTTATATTTGTTATGTATTAAAAAAATTAAAAAATATACAATTATATACTAAAATAAAAAATAATATATTTTATATTATTTAAATTGATTTTTTAGGGTACATAATTTCAAATAATGGCCTTATGATGGATTGTAAAAAAATACAGACTATCATAGATTGGAAGATTCTAAAAATAATTAAATATGCATAATATTTTTTGAAATTTGTCAATTATTATTAGATCTTCATTAAGATTTTTTTTTTTTTTTTTTTTTTTTTTTTTTTTTTCATATTGTGGCTCTTCTTATATGTTTGACATATAAAAAAAAACTTGAGTAAAACAAAGATGCTAAAGTATCTTTTGAAGCCTTGAAGATATTATTTATTTTTGTACCAATCTTATATCAGGTTAATTTTTTCAAGACATTATGAATTTAAAAAAAATACATCGAATTATGATTTGGATACAATGTTACCAAAAATAGAAGTAGTTAAAAATCTCTACTTAATAGCTTTTTATTCTAAAATATTTTTAGCAAATAAAATCAATTATAAAATCCACAATAAAAAAATCTTGCAATTATGGATTTATTTTAAGAATTTTGTTATTATCTAGAAGGCACTTTTAATCCAATTATTACATATACAAATCACAAGAACTTCAAGTATTTTATTGCAATATGTGTTTTGAATTATTGTCAAGTCTATTGGAGCATATCTTTATGAAGATATAATTTCAAGATCACTTGTCAATTTAAAAAATAATAAGGTTTGTTAAATATCTTTTTTAGATATTTTTATATTATATCAAAAAAAAGATGTATTTTTTGTTCAATAACAGACCATCATCTTGAAGTTAGAGCAATTTCATCTTTGAACAATGAAATCAACTCAAACTATTGATTAAATGTTTTTTAAGCAAGTTCAATGAAGGATGTCTTCTGATTTTTTTATTCATGATATTAAAAATAATTCTTCAAAATCTCATAATACTTCTAAGTTCAAATCCAAAAATAATTTACTTTATTTTAAGATATAATTTTAAAATTTAAAAGACAAAGCATGATTACATATTCTTCAAGCATGTCATGACTTTCCAATAGCCACATATTTTAGATAGAACAAGATTTTAGATCTAATATTTAAAGATTTTTGGTGGTTTCAAAGACTTTTTACAATTATATGATATTTTTTCAAAATCAAAAACTCTTTATCA